AAGAAAAAGAAATACTTGCATGTTAAAATAATAAAAAAAAAAAATAGTGAAATGCAATACAGTTTTAACAATTGTGTATTATTTAAAACCAATAGTTTGTATAGTGAATTCTCGGTATTTTACCGGAAATATACGAAATGTGAATTAACGTGAGAGAAAGACGCTCAGTGAGAATAGTTTTGCATATACATACATATATATATATATACATATACACATATAACATGCTCCATGCCCCCTCGACCCTTGCTCCTCCACCATCAGCCGATAAATTCGCATCTTGTCGTTAGCCAAAACAGTGCGATTATTATTTTTTATTTTATTTATTTATTTTTTTTTTTAAATTTAGATCAAAATTAAAATTTGATTTTTATCGTAAAATAAAATGTTTGGTTTGGAACCTGGTTCTCCGTGTCCTTACAGTGCACCACTAAAGACTCATGTTAAAAAATCTCCAATACGACCGTGTTCGATTCGACTCTATCGAGACAAAGACCTGGATCAACGAACTCCAAAAAAATGCAAAAAAAATGAAACCAAAGTAAATGTTTTTAATTTTTTTTTTTACTACTGTATAAATTGTATTTTTAATAAAATTACGCTATTTTCCGCAATTGTATCCAAGTGGACAGAATGAAATGAATTTTCAATGTGACCTACTTAAAATTAATATATATTTTTTTTGGAAATATTTTTTTGAAACTTTAAACCATTTTTTTTTAAAAAGATAATTGGGAAAATTTTATTCAATGTAACTTATTCTGATCGCTGTGATGTTATAAAGCAGTTACTCAAGTTATTAGTTCTATTTATATCTCCGGCTCTTAATTGATCCGAGACCTGTTATTTTCTTTGCCTTTTTTTTTACAAACGTTTCATTTCCGATTTCTATGAAATTTAACTAAGAAATTATTTTTCTTGATGAAAAATGGGATTTTTAGAAAAGAAACAATATTATTTCTAAAAAAAAAAAAAATTTTACAATTGATAAGATAAGAAATAGAATTTTTTTTTATTATTTATTTATCTGATTAAAAAACAAGGTTTTTTTTCTTTTTGGTTCACATTAAATTTTGAAGATTAGATATCAATTTTTTAGTTTTGAAGAAATAAAAAATTATAAAATTTTTTTTATTTTTATATTTATTGTAAAAGTAGGTGAAAATATTCTTTCATGTATTATGTAAAAAACAAAAGAGTCGCCATATTTTGGTCTCAACCTCAGAAATTCGAATTATTAATTATTTATTGCATATAAAGTCGATTTAATCATTTTTACCAAATTTTTAAAAGTTCAAATAACCATTTGATCGAATTTTTAAAAATATAAAATATTAATAAAGATCGAATTATAAAATGTTCGAATATTTATTTTCAAAAGTTCGAATATTGATTGAATTTTCAATGTTCAATATTTACAAGAAAAATGAAATTGTTAAAAATTCGAATATTTATTTGATCGAATTTTCAATAGTTTGAAACTTTTTACTCATCTGAGTTTACTTTCTATATGATTTAAATACAAATTCATTTTTTAAAAACTTATTATTATTATTATTATTATTATTATTATTATTTAGAAAATCTTAAGGACATGCAAAAGTAATATTTTTCGGAGTACAATTTGCAGAAAACCTGAAATAATGTTGTAATTGCATTTTTGTCAAAACTGTTTTTTTTTTTAATAATTTTTATAATAAATTTTATATTAGCCCTTTTTATTTAAAAATAATATTAAATAGTATTTGATTTTTGAAATTCAATAATTTATTAAAATAAAAAAAAAATCAACAAAAATTACCGAAAATTTCAATAATAATCACTTGAAGTTCAATTATTTTCAAAAATCTGAATTATAAATCTTCGAAAATTCGAAAAATAAATTTTTTAAAAAGTTCATCTAGAATTATTATATAATAATAAAATACTTGGTCTGTCCTTCTGTCCTAACTTGAAGTTGGCCTTTTCTGATTTCACGTATTTTTTTGAAAAACACAGGCCTCGAATCAACTTAAAGACACAAAAAAGTCGTTTTAGTCGATTTATATTCCAAAAAAAAGTGGATTTGTTTATTATTTCAACAAAAATATTTTACAGATTTTTAAATAAAAATTTTTTTTTTTAATAATAATCCTTTTCGAAGGGTTAAAGTTGAAATTTTTAGAAATAATTAAATTTCAAAAGATATTGTTAATTTTCAAAGAATTATTAAATTTTACAGAACTAAAAATAATTTATCAAACAATTTTTGGAAAACATTTTTTAAATTTAATTGAATTTTCAAAGATTTAAAATTGAGATTTTTGAAATTAATTGAAACTTGAAGTGTTTTGTAATTAAAATTTTAGATGATTTCACTAAAAATTTATTAGAAAATGCGGACAAAATACAATAATTTGAAAATCATTTTTAATTGAAAAATGGTTTCAGATAGTTGAATTTTCAAAGAATATTATTAAAATAGTTAAAAATAATTGAATTTCCTTAGAGTTATAATTGAAATTATTAAATTTCAAAAAAAAAATTTTCGATGGAAAATTTTAGAAATAATTAAATTTTAGATGCTTTTAAATTCAAATTATTGAAAATTCAATTAATTTTGAATTCAAATTTTTGAGAATAATGAAATTTTATTTGATTTTAAATTTGGAAAATAATTGAATTTCAGTTCATTTTGAATTGAAAATTTTGGGAAATAATTGAATTTTAATTGAAATTTTGAATAATAATTTAATTTAAGTTCATTTTTGATTGAAAATTTGGATAATTAATTTTGAATATAAATTTTAGAAAATAATTGAATTTTATTTCATTTTAAATTGAAAACTTGGTAAATAATAAAATTTTAAATTGAAAATTTTGGATAATTATTGGATTTTTAATTGATTTTGAATTAAAATTTCGGGTAATAATTGAATTTTAGTTTATTTTGAATTGAAATTTTTAAAAAATAATTCAATTTTATTGTGATATATTTTTTTAAATTATAAACAATTGTTAAATTTCATAAAAATTTTAATTGAAAAATAATTTTAATATAATTGAATTTGTGATGTATTTCATTAAAATTATTAAAAATAATTAATTTAGTAAGGAATCATTTTAGTTCAAAATTTGTTAAATAATTGAATTGAAGAAGATCTGAAGAAGATCTACATTTTATACTAAAAAAAATGTATTTTATTTACATTTTTTTTCAAATGTAAAAAAAAATGTCGCATTTTATTAAAATAAGTCGATAAAAGTTGTATTTTTGAAAAAAGTCGGAAAAAGTCGTATAATCCGAGGCCTGTAAACATATAATTTTCATTATTATCATTTAATATGTAATAATATTCTAATAAATTAAATTATTATTGATAATATTAATCTTTAATTTCTTTATAACAAACAATTAAATACTCAATTTGGCGCGCGTTTAATTTTGCTAGTTATTTAATAAATTATTTTCAATTCTGTAAAATTTAATTATTGTCTGTTTGTCAAAAACTTAAAATTCAATTATTTATAAAAATTTTAAATGTAACCCTTTCCAAATTCAATTATTTTTAATAATTTCAATATTTTTTTTTTTTTTTTTTTTTTTTGAAATTCAATTACATATATAAAAAAAGTTTTCATTAAAAACTCTAAAATTGAATTGTTATCAAAAATTAATTCAAAAAACGATTAAAATAATTGTATTTTTGAAAAATTAGATTAAAACTGTTGAAATAATTAATTAAACAAAATATAGATAAAAATTTGGGAAAAAATTTTCAATTGAATTAACATTCAATTAATTATTCAATTACTAATTGAATTTGGAAGAGTTCAAGTTAAAATTTTTTTCGAAGTACTTAAATTTCAAAAGATTTTAAATTGAAACTTTTATAAATTGTAATTGATACAATTTTTTTTACAAACTTTAAAGAATAATTGAATTATAGAGAATTTTAGAGAATTTTCAATTAAAAAATATTTTAAAAAATTGAATTCTCAATTTTTGAAATTTTCCATTAAAATTTTATTGAACTTGAATTATTGAAATTTTTTTCAAAATTACATATATATAAACAAAAATTTAATTTTAAAGAATTAATAATTAAAGAACGTTTTATGTAATTGCATTTTTGAAAAAACTTGATTAAAATTATTAGAAATAATTAATTCAAAAAGAAATTGAAATTAAAAATTTGATATCTAATTGAGTTTTGGAAGAGCAATTGTTAAAATTTTTGGAACTTATTGAATTTCAAAAGATTTTTAATGAAAATTTTCATAAATTTGAATTTCTGTAGATATTTTTGTAAGCTTTAAACAAATAATTAAACTTTCGAGAATTTTGAATTGGAAAATGTTTTAAATAATTATTGAATTATCGAAAAACTTGATTAAAATTATTTAAATTAAATTATTCAACAATTTCAATTTTAGATAGTAAATTTAGAAATAATTGTATTTTAGAAGAGTTCGAGTTAAAATTTGAGAAATAATTCAATTTTATGAGATTATTAATTGAAACTTTCATTTTGAATTGGTGAAATTTTTTTTCAAAAACTTTAGACAATAATGTGAATTTTCAATTGAAAACTGTTTTAAATCATGTAATTTTCGAAAAATTTTTTTTTAAATTATTGAAAATAATTGATTTTGCAAACAATTCAAGTTAATTTATTTTTTTAATAATTCAATTTTAAAAAATAAAAGAAAAGTCATGTAATCCTATTATTGAAAACCTCTTGAAATATTTTAATTAGGGTCAGGGAAAAAATTTTAATTTTCACTAAAAATTAGATAAAAGTTAGGAAAAAAACAAAATAATATTTTTGTGTCAACTCTGATAAATTTAATTAAATGAAAATTCAATTTAATAAAAATTCTACGTTTATAAATTTTGTTAACATTGAAATTCGAGCTAATTTCGACAATAAATTCAATATTGGGAAATATTCATGCTTCCCAAATATATTTAATATTAGAAAAAAAGTTTTCAATTAATTTTTTTTTCTTTTGTTTAGGATGCCTTAATTCTGCAACGTTTGGTTTTACAAACAAAATTACAATTGAGTGAAGATGAAGAAAGTGTTCCTGACGTTGCAGCCGCTGTGCAAGAAATTTTAGCCACCATATTTACCGCCTTATACAATCATCAAGATGAAGAAGGCAGATGTTATTCCGATTCGATGGCCGAACTTCCTGAGCATGATATCGTCGACGGAAAGAAGTAATAATTTTTTTTATTATTATTATTATTATTTAAAAACGAAATTAAATTTTAAAATAATATTCCTGTTCTTTAATCAAGAATATCAAGTTCTTTAATATCTCAAAAATAATTAGAAATATTATTTAGAAATACTATTTAGAAATAGTATTTAGAAATACTGTTTAAAAATTAAATAATTGTTTAGAATTCGCGGTTTGTCATTGGATTTAATAAAAAGAAGATTGGATAAGGGTGTCTACAAGAGATTAGATCGTTTTCAAGAAGATGTATTCACATGTTTGGAGAGAGCACGAAAATTATCGCGAACTGATTCGCAACCTTTCGAGGACAGCGTTGAATTGCAAGCATTTTTCCTACGCACCAGAGACGATGTAACTCGAAGTGGCGATCTTCTTCATTCGCCCGCTTTAAATTACATGCTTATCGATCTTTCAACACAAATTGCCGAACTTAAACGAATTAAATTGCAACAGGAAATTTCACTACCAGCTGAAGATGAAAGTTGCGATGGAAATGACAAGGTAAAATATTATATAATTATATACCAATAATTATTATTCATCTCAACAGTAAAAATTACTTAAATTACTTTATTTATTAATTACTCTAATTTCATTTAATTGAAAATAATTTATCAATTATAATTTTAAATCATCGCTTTTTTTAAAAATAATTGAATTTTCCAAAATATGTACAATTCAGGTTTTTTTTTTGAAAATAATTAAAAATTTGAAATACCCAATATATGACAATCACGATTTTCTTGATAATTTTTAAATGAACAATTTTTGAAAATTGCGCCGAAATCTTTCTGTCGATTGTTTGTTCGGTCATTTGTAAATTTGGATAAATGAAAATTCGGCGTCTTAAAAGTTCTATCAATTAAAACTTTGTATAAATAAAAATTTAAATAAATTAAAATTCGAATTTTTAAATGATAGAAATTCCAAATTACTTAATTTTAATTTATCCGAATTTTTATTTGTACGAATTTTTATTTCTATGAATTTTTATTTGTACGAATTTTTAATTAATAGAATTTTAAAGACGCCGAATTTTTATTTGTCCGAAATTATAAATGACCGTACAAACGAATGGACAGAAAGATTTCGGCGCAATTTTTGAAAATTGACCAATCACGATTCTCTTGATAATTTCAGAACTCAGATTATATGACTTCTTCGATTTTGTAAAAAAAATATTTAAAAAAAAAATTTTAAACAAAATACGTTTTTTTTAGTATACAATGCAGATCTTCTTCAGATTTTCTTTATTTCAATTATTTAACAAATTTTTAACTAAAATTCTTCACTAAATTAATTATTTTTCATAATTTTAATGAAATTCTTCAACAAATTCAATTATCTTAAACTATTTTTCAATTAAAATTTTTATGAAATTTAACAATTGTTTATAATTTTTAAAAAATTAGCAAATAAAATTGCCCAACAATTTTTAATTCAAAATCACTTGAAATTTAATTATTTGCAAAAATTTCAATTATTTTTTAATGATTTTTTATAATATTCTTTGAAAATTCATTTATCTGAAAGCATTTTTCAATTAAAAACTTTTGAAATTCAATTTTTTTATGTGATTTTTAATAAATTCTTCATCAACAGAAATTACTAGAAATTTCTCTTATTATAATTATTGTCTGAAATTTAACACAATCTTTTGAAATTCAATTATTGTCAAAAATTTCAATTACAACTTAAAATTGAATTATTTTCAAAAATTTCAATTTAAAAGCTTCTAAAATTTAATTATTTTCGAAAATTTCAATTTAAAAGCTTCTAAAATTTAGTTATTTCTGAAATTTTTCATCTAAAATTTTTTGAAATTTAATAATTTCAATTATAACTCAAAATTCAATTATATTTAATGATTTTTATAATATTCTTCGAAAATTCAACTATCTGAAACGATTTTTCACTTAAAAAGTTTTTAAATTATTGTATTTTTATCTGCAATTTCTAATAAAATTTTTAGTGAAATCATGAAAAATTTTTATTAAAAAAAACACTTGAAGTTCAATCAATTTCAAAAATCTAAATTATAGATCTTTGAAAATTCAATTTCTTTTTTAAAAAAAATATTATCTAAAATTATTTGATAAATTATTTTTAGTTCTGTAAAATTTAATTATTTTCTGAAAATTAACAAAATCTTTTGAAATTCAATTATTTCTAAAAATTTCAACTTTAGTTGTTCCAAAATTATTATTTGAAAAAAATTTTTTATTTAAAAATCTGTAATACTCGATTAAGTATTGCCTGAAATTTTTTTGACCATCAAAACTGAAAATTATGACAAAATTTTTAATTCGAATAAATTGCTTAAATCAGACTTCAAAAAATAATAAAACTGGAATTTTAAGAATCTTTTTTAAAAATTTGTCCTATATTTATATAAAATTTTGAAAATTTTCCTTACAGTTAGTTCGATTCTGAAATATTCGAAATAAATTTTCTTGATAATATTCATTATAGAATTATTCTCATTACAGAATTAATAAAATGAATTTAATATCTAATAACATTTGTTATTTAAAGTAAAATATTTATTAATCAATTAAATTTTGTTTAAATAAAAAAAAATCTACTTTTTCGACTTTTTTTAAAATATAAATCGACTAAAACAACTTTTTTTGTGCTTTAAAATCGATCCCAAAGCCTATGTCGATTATTTGTTCGGTCATTTGTAATTTCGGACAAATGAAAATTCGACATCTTTAAAATTCTATCAATTAAAAATTCGTTCGAATAAAAATTCAGACAAATAAAAATTCGTTGAATTAGAATTTCGGTCATTTAAAAATTCGAGTCACATAAAATCCAATTGAATGAAAATGCTGTTAAATTAAAATTCGCTGAAATTATAATTTTGTTAATAAAAAATTGGATAAATAGTATTTCTGTAAAATAAAAATTCCACCAAACAAAAATTCGGTAGCTAAAAATTTTGTCAGGTAAAAATTCGTAAAAAAGAAATTTTGTCAAATTCAAAAAACAAAAAATTCTAAAAAATAATTTTAATAAAAATTTTATTAGAAATAATTATTTATTGAAAAATAAAAAATTTTTATGTGATGAATCATGCGCCCCATTTTTTATGAGTTCCAATTTAAAAATTTTTTTTTTTTTCTGAAATATTTTAGGAATCGGAATCAAATTCAAGTACAGGAGCAAGTAATGGTGACGGTGCAACAATGAGTTTTAATCAAGAAGTTTATCGAGCTGGTGATTTTGCATATGTTGAGCCTAGCGAAAGAGGAATGGAATTTAGTGTTGTATTAATTGAAAGATTATGGACAAATTCAATGGGTGAACAAATGTTGTATGGAAATCTTTTTTATCGACCTAGTGAAACCTATCATATTGCATCGAGAAAATTTCTCGATAAAGAATTATTTAAAAGTGATGTACACAATGCAGTGCCACTTGTCAAAGTTGCCGGCCGATGTTGTGTTTTAAGTGTTAAAGATTATTTTCGTATGTTACCCGAGGGTTTTTTGGAGAAAGATGTTTATGTTTGTGAATCGCGTTATTCAACAAAGGCAAGATCATTTAAGAAAATTAAAAATTGGAATTTTGATCCCGATCGTTTGAAACTTGTTGCAAGGGAAAAATTAATTGAACCAAAGAGAGTGATTTCGGTTTATAAAGAGAGACTCGAGAAGCATAAGGAGGAAATTGCTGAATTAGAGGAGGGGGAGAAATTAATTGAAAAAGAAAGACCGGTGAGTTTAGAAAAAAAAAGAAAGAAAACACCTTTTTTTCCCTCTGGATAATATTGTTCTTGCTTTTTGATATTTTTTTTTCTATACTACAAAAATTATCGTTTTTAGTCCATTGAATTTAATTTAAAATTTTTTTTTCTTTTAGAATGTGATACAGTTTAATTCAGATGACTCAGACAATACGTATTATGAACAATACAATACTTGTATTGGATCTGTAAAAACGGGAGATTTTGTTTACGTGGCAACTGAAGGAGGTCGTCAGCAAATTGCACAAATTGACACTATTTGGTCAACAAAAGAGTAAGTAGAAAAAAATGCTCAATTGACAAAAAGAAACAAATTTTACAGCATTTCTTTTTTAAATAAATTCAATTTTTTTTTATTTTAACGGTAGTTTATTTTTTTTTTTAAATCAAAGTTAGTTTTAAATATTTTATCCTAAAAGTACTTTGAATTTTAAAACGATATTCGCTTTTTAAGGGGTAAAACCTACATGAAAGGACCATGGCTTCTAACTCCATCGGAAATACCACACGCACCTACAAAATTATTTTACAAACAAGAAATGTTTCTATCAACGATTGATGGTACCCATCCTGTTGTGGCAATTGTGGGAAAATGTGCAGTTCTCGATTATGGAGAATATGTTTGCAGTATGTTTAATTTCAATCAATTATTTCTCAATTAATTGCAAAACTCAAAAATTTCATTCGAATTTTCTTTTTCTTTTCTGTATGTATTTCTTTTCTATTTATTTATTTTATTTCAAATTATTTTATGTAAAAATTAGTTTAAAAAAACATTTATTGCGTTTCATCTCTTATTTTTTCTGTTATGTGAAAAAAAAAATATAAATAATTGTTTAACCACAGGTCGACCGACAGAAATTCCAGAGGATGATATATTCATTTGCGAATCAACTTACGATGAAACGAAAAATCTAATGAGAAAATTGAACCTCGACGGACTGAAAAAATATAATCACAGCTCGGCCGTTACTGACGATGAGATTTATTTCTTCCGTAAACCAATTAATCCTGCCAAGGTGAGTTGAGCCAAAAAAAAAAACTATGGACATTTCTAATGAGATTTTTATTCCAATTATTTTTTTTATATTTGGGAATTCAAATGAAGTTCTTAATATTAATTAATAAAATAAAAAAAGCATTTTAATTTTTCAGACTAATTACGTTTTTCTTATATATGTAAAAAATGTTTAAAATTAATATTTAGAGAAAAACTTATCCTTAGCAAGACTAAGAAACAAAAAAAAAATTTTGTTGAAAATTGAAAAAGACTACTTAAAACAATTAAGAATTAAAAATTAAGAAAAACTGACAAATACTTAAATATTTGCTCTACTGGTTTTGCAAATAGAAAAATGGCAATAAATCAGTCAATTTTTTTAAAAAATCTATTCAATCGTATCGTTCGACGCAGAATTTAGTACGCTTGAATATTACATGAAGAAAAAAAATGTTTAAAATATAATTAATGCCGGAAACATCAGTTAAAGTTGAAAAATTGAGGAAAAAATGATAATTTTTTTCTCTTGTAAATATTACTTTTAAAAAACTAACAAATAAATATGAAAAGCCCTGCTTTTAAGTTTAATCAATTTTTTTTTTAAATCTTTATGAAAAATAAGAAAAAATTTATTTTTTTATTTGATAAAAATTGTGATTTTTTTTAGTTTAACTTTTAAAATGCGTTTTTCACATATTTTTAAAAATACAAAAATAAATATTTAATTTAATAAATAAATCAATCGAATTTAATGTGATTCAAATTTTTAAATGACAGAAATTCTAATTTTAATTTTAATTTGTCCGAATTTTTAATTATAAAAATTTTTAAGACGCAGAATTTTCATTTGTCCGAAATCGCAAATTACCGAATTAATAATCGACAGAAAGATTTCGGCGCAAATTTTCAAAAATTGACCAATTAGAAATTAACGAGGCTGAAGTACGCAACGTTTATGATAAACGATTTTTAAAGAAATAATTTTTTCAAATGAAAAATTCTATAATTTTTTGCCTAAAAAATATTTCTTGTAGTTTTCATTAATTAACAAATTATAAAAAAAATATTTTTTAGGCAAAAAATTATAGAATTTTTTATTTTAAAAAATTATTTATTTAAAAATCGTTTATAGAAACGTTGCGTACTTCAGCTTCGTTAGAAATTATCAAGAAAATCGTGATTTAGTGAATTTTCAAAAAATTGCGCCCGAAATTTTTAATTTAATAAATGCATATTTAAAGTTTTTTTAAGACAAAATCGAATTATTTTTGTTTTATTAATAGGACAGAAAAAAATTGCATTTCAAAATTATTCGGCTCCTGATAATGTTAAATTTTAAAAAATCATAACTTCTTTAATTTCTATCAAGTAAATAAATAAAAAAAATACGAATTTTCTTTTTTTTTCATAAAAATTTGGAAAAAATATCCTATGGAAAAACAAATAATTTTTGAATGATAATCTCACGTGTAATGTCCTATATAGTTTTAATTTAATGTATTTAATTAATTATTTTTTGTTATTTATTTACATATTTGTAGTTTTTAATAGTGGAATTTAATTTTTCTTTTATTACTAAATAAATGAATACATTGTAACAGGTATCTAGTGAAGTGGCTCAAATGCAGAGTCAAATCAAACCTCTCAGTGCCTCGGGTTCTTTCGATATGGTAAGTAATAATTTCATTAAAAAAATATATAGAGTTTAAAGGCATTCTCACATTTTGAAACAATTATTGTAGAATTTGCATGCTTTTCAAGAAATACTATCAGAAATTATAAAAAAAAATACAATACAAGTACAAGAGACATTCGAGTAAAATGAAACTACTTTTATAAAATAAAATAATTTTACATTCTCAATTATTTAACAATTAAGTTCGTTGAATTTGTAAAATTTGAATATCACTTTTTAAAAAAAAAACAGTGCAAAAAATTTGAAAAATCGAATTAAATATTAATTAGTTTAATTTAGTTTTTGTAAAAATATTAAATCAAGTCACATAATTTCTGGCAGTACTGCTGTAGGTACATTCAACACTGGTACAGCGAGATTGCTCTCAATTGATGCTTTAAATTTTTTACAAAATTGATAAAAAAAAATGCAATTGAGTACTATTTATAAAATAACAGAAACATTATTGAATATTATTTTAAAGAAAAAACATAATAAATTTTTAGTTTTTGGCCTAGACAATTTTTTTTTTCAATTAAAAATGAAAAAATTTAACAAATATCTGGCTGTATTAGTCATGGCTCGATTGCACGTTCGTTAATCCTATGCCGGCATATGCAATTATTTTGTTTAGTTTTTCTCAATTCTTGTTTTTTTTTTTTTTTCTTATTTACGTCCATTGAGTTGTCTATAAGCATCCATTTAGTTTGAAAGAGAATTTTCTTGCAAGACAAAGAAAGTCAGAGCACCTGTTGGGTTTTACGCGAGACCTTGAAAACGCCTTGAATTGTTTTTCAAAACTTGCTGGACACCTTCAATTATAATATAGGATCAGGATGTTAAATAAAATTTAACTGATCAAAAAATAGTTTTTTTTTTTTAATCCGGCTCAATTGGCTTCATTTTCTTTAAAATACGCTTTGATTTTTAAATTTTTTACATTAAGATGGTACACACAAAATTATCAACTATTTTAAGAAATTATTTTCAAAATACAACAAAATTATTTTTAAAGTAATTTTTTCCAATTAATTCAATGATTATTGGAAAAAAAAAATTACTTTAAAAATAATTTTGTTGTATTTTGAAAATAATTTCTTAATATAGTTGAAAATTTGGATGTAACCGTACGGTTAAAAATTCTAAAATAAAAATTAAGAAGAAAAAATGGAAAACTTATTGATTTAAATTTTGCAATAATAACAAAAAAAAATAGAAAATGCAAATTATTTTATACTTTTGTTATTGTATTTAAAATATCGTCAACCGGGGTAATTCTGGTACACCAGGGGATATTATGGTATAAACTAGTTTTTTTAATTTTGAAAAAAATATTCATTTCGAAATGTTAAAATTTGACACTAGTGAAACATTTTAGAAACAAAGTAAGAAGTAACTATAATGTTATTAGTAAATTCGGTTTTAGGAGATAAAAAAAAATTTAGAAAAAATTTTGTTGGAAATTACGAAGTTTTGTATTCACTAAAGTTAGTATCAAAAATAATTAAGATACATGTTCAAAATTTAGTTATGACAATCTATTCTCGATTGGATAAATTTTTATTAATTATTTTCGGCAGAAAAGTGTCGAAAACTAAAAATCCAGTATTTGCAGGGGCTATTCTAGTTAAATCGATAAATACAAACCGGTACAACATAACCTCAGAAAACAATATTAATCCTTAACTGGCACCATGGGTCCAGCAGACCCCTTTGTGCCATTTACAGGCCTCGGATCGACTTTAAAGCACAAAAAAAAGTCGTTTAAATCGATTCATATTCCAAAAATAGTCAAAAAAGACGATTTCTTTTTTTATTTTAACAAAATTTAATTGATTAATAAATATTTTAATTTAAATAACTAATGTTATTAGATATTAAATTCATTTTATTAATTCTGTAATGAAAATAATTCTATAATGAATATTATCAAGAAAATTTATTTCGAATATTTCAGAATTGAAACTAATTGTAAGGCAAATTTTCAAAATTTTATTTAAATAGGACAAATTTTTAAAAAAAGATTCTTAAAATTCTAGATTTATTATTTTTTGAAGTCTGATTTAAGCAATTTATTCGAATTAAAAATTTTGTCATAGTTTTTAGTTTTGATGGACAAAAAAATTTCAAGCAATACTTAATCAAGTTTTACTGATTTTTTAAAACAAAATTTTTTCATATAATAATTTTAGAAGAATTAAAGTTAAAATTTTTAGAAATAATTGAATTTCAAAAGATTTTGTTAGCTTTCGGACAATAATTAAATTTTATAGAACTAAAAATAATTTATCAAATAATTTTAGATAACATTTTTTGAATGTAATTAAATTTTCAAAGATTTATAATTTAGATTTTTGAAATTAATTCAACTTCAAGTGATTTTTAATTAAATTTTTTTTTATGATTTCATTAAAAAATTTATTAGAAATTGGAGATAATAAAACTACAATAATTTAAAAACTTTTTAACCGATAAATGGTTTCAGATAGTTGAATTTTCGAAGAATATTATAAAAATCATTAAAAATAATTGAATTTTGAGTTATAATTGAAATTATTAAATTTCAAAAAATTTTATATGAATTTTAGAAATAAATATATTTTAGAAGTTTTTAAATTAAAATTTGTGAAAATAATTAAATTACGAAAGATTGTGTTAAATTTCACACATTAATTATAATAAGAGAAATTTTTAGTTTTTTCTGTTGATGAAGAATTTATTAGAAATCACATAAAAAAAATTGAATTCCAAAAGTTTTTAATTGAAAAATGTTTTCAGATAATTGAATTTTCGAAGAATATTTCAGGCAATACTTAATCAAGTTTTACAGATTTTTAAATAAAAATTTGTTTAAAAATAATTATAATAATTTTGGAAGAGTTAAAGTTGAAATTTTTAGAAATAATTAAATTTCAAAAGATTTTCTTAATTTTTAGACAATAATTAAATTTTACAGAACTAAAAATAATTTATCAAATAATTTTAAATAATATTTTTTTAAAAGTAATTAAATTTTCAAAGATTTACAATTTAAATTTTTTAAATTAATTGAACTTTAAGTGATTATTAATTAAAAATTTTTCATGATTTCACTAAAAAATTTATTAGAAATTGCAGATAAAAATACAGTAATTTAAAAACTTTTTAAGTCAAAAATGGTTTCAGATAGTTGAATTTTCGAAGAATATTATAAAAATCATTAAAAATAATTGAATTTTAAGTTATAATTGAAATTATTAAATTTCAAAAAATTTTAGATGGAAAAGTTTAGAAATAATTAAATTTTAGAAGCTTTTAAATTAAAATTTTTGAAAATAATTGAATTTCAAAAGATTGTGTTAAATTTCAGACAATAATTATAATAAAAGAAATTTCTAGTAATTTCTATTGATGAAGAATTTATTAGAAATCACATAAAAAAATTGAATTCCAAAAGTTTTTAATTGAAAAATGCTTTCAGATAATATTCAATATTTATTTATAATTTATAATATTATTTATAATATTTATTAAATAATTAATTTTGTGAAGAATTTTAGTTAAAAATTTGTTAAATAATTGAAATAAAGAAAATCTGAAGAAGATCTGCATTGTATACTAAAAAACGTATTTTGTTTAAAAATTTTGTAAAAAAAAAAAAAAAAAAAAATGTCGAAAAAGTCGCATTTTATTAAAATAAGTCAAAAATAGTCGTATTTTTGAAAAAAAAGTGGGAAAAAGTCGTATAATTCGAGGCCTGAATATATCGGGTCCAGCAGACCCGTTGTTCCATTTACGTACAAACGCGAAATTGTGCCAATTAAGGGTTAATTTTACATTGATTTTCAAGTTAATTTAAAAACTCTTTGATTTAAAATATCTTTAAAAAAAACAATTTTATATCTTATATTAAGTTATTTATTTAATCTAAAATGTGTTTAATTTGAAATTCGTATTCATTTCTATCCTCAAAAAAATTAAATGTATGGAAATTTTGTATAAGAATAAGTTTTTAAAAATTATTAAATATGTAGTTAAAAGTTTTATTCGAAGAAAAAAAAATTTTTTATTTTATAAATAAAAAAACAAAGTTTGTACCAAAATAGCCCCAAATCGACGGGGTATTATGGTACAAACTTTGAGTTTACATAATTCAGATAGAAAAAAAAAATTTTCTATTAAAATTTAGAGAAAATCTTTAGAGGAATGTCGACAACACGACTAAGATGTTTTAAAATATTTTTCTATATAATGATTAGAATTTTGGTTAATAGAAGAAAAAAAAAAAAAATTGCGATTTTTGTACCATAATAACCCCTCGGTTGACGGTAATAAAAATTAAAAAAAAAAAATAAAAAAAAGTACCACCGGCCCAGATGATGGATATAATGAAGGTAACTTGAAACTAATGGTAATAGGATTCTTCACCAATAATACCGAAGCTGGAACCCGATGTACTAAGCATGGGAGTAGGATTAGGAGTAGGAGTCGGTGAAGACAGCATGGATGCTGGTGGTCCACCATCTGTTGGTTCTATGGAAGCTCAACCGGTGCTCTCCAACACCCAAACGCCCGTTTCCACTAAAAAGGTAGGTCTCGTCGCCTCTTTCCATTTTCACCCTCTCTTGTTTTTTTTTTTTTTTCTTTTTTTTTTTTATTTCCTTTTTTCCATTTTTTTTTATTTCCTTTTACGCACTGGCTCATTGTTCACTGTATATGTTTTTCATTTATTATAGTTTAATTTTTTTTCTTCATTTTACTGCTTTTCACTTTTCATTTTTATTGTTTTCGCAAAATAAAAAATATGCCAGCATAAATATTATTTTTGAATTTTTGTTTATTCGCACAAACATCGTTTACACAAAAGGGATTTAAAAAAAAATAAATAAAAATTTAGTAGTATCGTAAATCGTAAAACCAAACAAAATTAGTTAGAATATAGCCTAGTGCGCATAAAAAAAATAAAAATTGATCCAATTTCTAATTTTCATCTAGGATTTTTAATTTTTGATTTATTTTTCTGTTTAGAAATCAACCGGTAAGAAATTAGTAACGGGATATATTTTGTATTCGAGTAAACATCGAACGCCAATTACGCAAAATAATCCTGATTCTACCTTTGGGGAGATTAGCAGAATTGTTGGTAACGAGGTATTTATTTCAATTTTTTTTTTTTTTAAATATAACAATTTTCATTTTATTTTGTTGATAAGCCTTTAATTGGAGATAAAGAAATCAACATTTTTTTTCTCTAGTTCGAGGTTTGTCTATATTTTTAGCGTAAAAAAAAGGATTGGCTACTCTCTGTCTTCTTTTTACATTTTTTTTTATTTTTTGGCTAAAAGGAAATTAATACGAGAAAAAAGAACATTATTTTTTTTATTATTATTATTATTTGAGTAATCCTTTTTTAATTTTCGATTATTTTTTTGTGTAATATTTTTCTTTTGTTAGCAAGCTTTAATGTATTTTTTAATTTTCCAGCTTAATTTTCGTTTTTTCTTTAGTTCGTTAAAGAAGCTAGTGCTTAATAATAATATGTTTAATAAATTAAAAATTTTTTTTAACCTCTTGAGGTTTTTATTCGTTGTGTGGAAGAAAAATTATGTTTTTATTTATATATATATATACATGTATTTAAGAAAAAAGTAGAAAGGGAGTAGCCACTTTTGAAAAAAAAAATTATAAAAAACCGCTTTTTTCGAGACGCATGAATATTGTCTAAAATTAATTTGCTGAAATTTTTATTTAATAGAATTTCATTAGATAGAATTTTCTTCTCGCCGAATTTTTATTGGAATTATTTTTTTTTAGCAAAAAAAAAACGATTTTCTATAGTAGAGAAATTTTACATAACCTTAAAATTCATTTAATAAAGATTCTATTTGATCGAATTTTTATTTGGCAGAAATTTCATTTGTTTTGGCGGCAAATTTAAAATTAACCAACTCAAAATTTTCTCGGTAAATTCTGATTGGTTAATTTTTAAATTTGCGCCAATATCTTTCTCTTGATTTTTTATTCGGTCGCTTATACTTATTCGGACAAATAAGAATTTGAGCAAATAAAAATTTGAATAAATAAAAATTGAGACAAATAAAAATTCGAACAAATAAAAATTGTGACAAATAAAAATTCGAACAAATAAAAATTGTGACAAATAAAAATTCGAACAAATAAAAATTCGATCAAATAAAAATTCGATCAAATAGAAATTCTGTTTAAATAAATTTTTGGTTGTGTAAAAATTTGTCCGAAATTATAAGCGACCGAATTAAAAAAAAGATAGAAAAATATTGGCGCAAATTTAAAAATTAACCAATCAGAATTTATCGAGGAAATTTTGATTGGTTAATTTTAAAATTCGCGCCAAAACAAATGAAAGTTCTGCCAAATAAAAATTCGATTAAATAGAATTTATTTTAAATGGATTTTAAGGTTAAGTAAAAATTTAACTATAGAAAATCGGTTTAATGAAAAGTTTATTGTCGAAAAAAAATAATAATTCGGCTAAAAGAAAATTCTAAGAAATTAAATTTTAGACATTATTCATGCGTCTCTTATTTTTTGAAGATGCGGAATTTTTTTATTATTATTTTTATTATTATTATTATTATTATTATTATTATTATTATTATTTTTAGTGGAGAAAATTACCGGCGGGTGAAAAACAAACATGGGAAGAAAAAGCGATCAAAATGAATGAGGAAATTGGTCAAGTAAAGGGTAATTCCTTGCCAATTTCTTCACAAGATCATTGTTTTGAATGTTGTTGGGACACGTGTGATTATCAATTTGAAGATATGACGGACTGCATTGATCATTGTATCGCTGAGCAATCTGGTCATGTGCAAACAACATTTGCCAATCTTAGCGGTGGTAAGTTTAAAAATTTGCAAATTTTACGTTTTTTAATTCCTTATATTGAATAAATAAATCAATTTTTAAAAAAGTCCACATCTGATTTAACTTTTCAATACAGAAAATCGATTTTTTATCCAATATTAACTTTTTACTAAATTAAATTTACTTTAAAATTTAAAATAAAATTACTTTTAAATTAAATTCACTTTAATTTTTTTCAGAAGTGAAATGAATAGATTCTTTTTCAAAAGCGATTAATTTTATTTAAATTATAATTAATTTAAAAAAATTAAATATTTATTTTCAGAAGAAAATGTAATATTTCAATGTCAGTGGCGAGGCTGTGGAAGAACAAAAAAATCAGTTCCACCATTTCCAAGTGTTCAAAGACTCGCGAGACACGTCAAGGAAGTTCATATTCTCAAATCTAATGGACGAATTATTCTACCTGCCGATCGGAGCAAGTAAGTTTAAAAAAAAATTTTTTTTTTTACAAATTTCATTTGTAAACAAACAAGTTCTATATTTTTGAATATTTAAATAAATAAAAAAAAAGGAATTCATTAAATCAAAGAGGCGCATGATTATTCCATAAAAAATCGTTAATTAGAATTTTTTATATTTAAAGAATTTTATTAGAAATAATTTTATTTTAAAACAATTTTCGAATTCAAATTTAATAGATTTTCTTTTTATACGAATTTTTACTCAACAAAATTTTTAGCTGTTTTTGTTTCGCATAATTTTTATTTTACAGTATTTTTTCTCATTTGACTTTTTATTAAAAAAAAAAATTTAATACAATCAAATTTTATGTGATTCGAATTTTTAAATGACCGAAATTCCAATTTGTCCGAATTTTTATTTGTACAAATTTTTAATTGATAGAATTTTTATGTCGCCGAATTTTCATTTGTCCGAAATTTGCAAATGGAACAATTGTTTCTTAATTTTTTATTTTTATTTCAATTTAAGAACATTTTAAATCGTAAGGTAAATTTTGTTTATTTTCAGAAATTTTGTCGCCTCATCGAAAGGAGTCGCCGGAATGGCTCCTATGGAAACCGGTGAGTTGCGTGGCGTAAACCACAAAATACGATTACACAAAGGTGCGCATTTGTATTTTCAGTAATAATTCTTCTTCTTCTACTACTACTACTACTGCTACTGCTACATTTTTAATTGGCATGTTTTTTTTTTAATTCAAAATTCAAAAATTAACTCAACTCTGAAGATATGTGGGACCAAAGGTTTTTACAACAAAGTTCAAAATCTCGTTAATAATTTAATGCTTTCATCTAATTAATTAATTTTTATTCATTTTCTTTATTCGATAAGAAAAACATTTTCATCTTTCTATTTTACTTTCTCATTATTATTATTATTAATTTAAAAAGAAAAAGTTAAGTGCGATTCCACGAGGTTCTTGAAACTTTCTTAAACCTATTGAAATTAATTATATTTATTTTATGTAAAATTTTTCAAAAATCAACTTTTCAAGATCAAACATATTTTTTTTTTTATTTAAAACGTTAATTTTTTAGAAATTATAATATAAGTAATAAATAATAATAGTAGTAGTAGTAATTATTTATTATTATTATTATTATTATTACTTACATTATTTATTATTATATTTCATATATTTATATTATAATATAAATAAAATTATATAATAATAAATACAATACTAAATAAGTTTTATTAAAATTGAGGATGCGTTTCGAAATTTGGTAAATTTCTCGTGGAATTACATTGAAATTTTATTTGAAAAAATAAAATCGAAAAACCTGTGGAATTTGACAAATATTTTTTTATTACAGAAACAACTGTAGCTGCAACGCAGACAAATAATCTTCCAACGACCAAGCAACCAGATCCACTTTTTATTGCAGTTCCTCCAAGACCAAGTCGACTTTTACATTCGGACGCTTATCTCAGGTAAATAAACATTAAATATATAATACTTAAAAATACTATTGAAAAAAAAATTAATTTCCAATATAATTAAAAAATTGTCAAATAATTGAATTTCAGAAGATTTTTAATTAAAATTTTAAAAATAATTGAATTTCAGAAGATTTTTAATTAAAATTTTAAAAATAATTGAATTTCGAAAAATTTGATTACGAAATTCAGGGAATCAATAAGACACACTCATACAATAATACGAGAAGTAATTACAAGAGAGCCTATGGTCAGGCGCTAAATTTATAATACATTCTTTTCATTCGTTCTTTCAACATTATTCAATTACTAATTCAGGCCTCGGATTATACGACTTTTTCGACTATTTCCGATTTTTTTTCAAAAATACAACTTTTTTTTGACTTATTTTAAAAAAATGCGACTATTTCGACTTTTTTTTTACATTTTTAAAAAAGTTTTTTAAATAAAATATATTTTTTTTTTTTAGTATAAAATGCAGATCTTCTTCAGATCTTCTTTATTTCAATTATTTAACAAATTTTTAACTTAAATTCTTCACTAAATTAATTATTTTTAATAATTTTAATGAAATTCATCACAAATTCAATTATTTTAAATTATTTTTCAATTAAAATTTTTATGAAAATTTAACAATTATTTATAATTTTAAAAAAATATTAAATAAAATTACCAAAAATTTTAAATTCAAAATCATAAATCAATTCAAAATCAAATAAAATAGAATTATTTTCAAAAATTTCAATTAAAAATCAGCTAAAATTCAATTATTACTGAAAATTTTAATTCAAAATTAATTATTATCAAAATTTTCAATCAAAAATCAATTAAAATTAAATTACTATCCAACATTTCAATTGAAATTCAATTATTTTCCAAAATTTCAATTCAAAATCTTTTAAAATTCAATTATTTTCCAAATTTTTAATTTAAAATCAAAAAAATTCAATTATTACCCAAAATTTTAATTCAAAATCAATTAAAATTCAATTATTCTCAAAAATTTCAACTCAAAATTATTTATTATTAAAATTTTCAATCAAAAATCAACTAAAATTAAATTATTATCAAAAATTGCAATTATAATTCAATTATTTTCAAAAATTTGAATTTAAAAGCTTCTAAAATTTAATTATTTCTAAAATTTTTTGAAATTTAACTATTTCAATTATAACTCTAAGGAAATTCAATTATTTTTAACTATTTTTATAATACCTATTCTTTGAAAATTCAACTATCTGAAACCATTTTTCAATTAAAAATGGTTTTCAAATTATTGTATTTTCGTCTACAGTTTCTAATACATTTTTTAGTGAAAAAAAAAAATGTTAATTAAAAATCACTTAAAGTTCAATTAATTTAAAAAATCTAAATTGTAAATCTTTGAAAATTTAATTACTTTTAAAAAAATATTATTTAAAATTATTTGATAAATTATTTTTAGTTCTGTAAAATTTAATTATTGTCTGAAAATTAACAAAATCTTTTGAAATTCAATTATTTCTAAAAATTTCAAATTTACCCTTCCAAAAGTATTATTATTAAAAAAAAAAAAAATTATTTAAAAATCTGTAAAATGTTTTTGTTAAAATAAAAAAAATCGACTTTTTCGCCTTTTTTTGGAATATAAATCGACTAAAACGACTTTTTTTGTGCCTTTAAGTCGATCCGAGGCCTGCTAATTGAATTTGGAAGAGTTTGAGTTGGAATTTTTTTTTGGAAGTAATTAAATTTCAGAAAATTTTAAATTGAAACTTTCATAAATTTTAATTGATAAAATTTTTTTTAACAAACTTTAAAGAATAATTGAATTTTAGAGTATTTTTAATTAAAAAAACTTTTTATTTCTCCGAATTGTTGAAGAACTGTATTAAAGTAATTAAAAAAAACATTAATTTAGCTAATAATTTGAAATAAAATTTTTAGAAATTATTGAATTATAGAGAATTTTAGAGAATTTTCAATTGAAAAATGTTTAGAAAAATTTGAATTTTCGATTTTTGAAATTTTCAATTAAAATTTTAATAAACTTGAATTATTGAAATTTTTTTAAAAATTATATAAACAAAAATTTAATTTTAAAGAATTAATATTTAAAAAATGTTTTATGTAATTGAAGTTTTTGATAAAGTTTAAAGTTATTAGAAATAATTAATTGAAAATGAAATTGAAATTAAAAATTTGAGAAATAATTCAGTTTTGGAAGAGCAATAAATAAAATTTTTTAAACTAATTGAATTTTAGATTTTTAATAAAAATTTTCGTAAATTGGAATTTTTGTAAATATTTTATAAGCATTAAACAATAATTAAAATTGGAGAATTTTGAATTTGGAAAATGTTTTAAATAATTGAATTTTCGAAAATCTTGATTAAAAATTATTAAAATTAAATTATTCAATAATTTCAATTTTTAGATAGAAAATTTAGAAATAATTCTATTTCAGAATAGTTCGAGTTAAAATTTTGAAAAATAATAATTGAATTTCAGGAGATTATTAAATAAAGCTTTCATTTTAAATTGATGAAAATTTTTTTTAAATCTTTAGACAATAAAGTGAATTTTCAATTGAAAACGGTTTTAAATCATGTAATTTTAGAAGAATTTGTTTTAAAATTATTAAAAATAAATTGATTTTGCAAACAATTCAAGTTAATATATTTTTTTAATAATTCAATTTTAAGAAATCAAAAAAAAAAAAATCAAAAATGTCGTACAATCCGAGGCGTATTATTGAAAACCTCTTGAAATATTTTCATTAGAGTCAGGGAAAAAAATTTTAATTTTTATTGAAAATCAGAGAAAACACGGTGCGCCAGAAGGTGGTTTAAATAAAAATAAATTGGCACTTAAAAGTTCTTTTTGATTATGATTCTTAGATGAATAACAAACATTTCTCAATAGTTTTTAAAATCAGTTTACGTGCCCGATTTAAATAAAATTGAGTTTTTATATAAAAACAGTGTTTTATGGGGAATAAGAATTTATTTAATCTAATAAATACTGTAATAAATGATAAAATAATTACTTATTTTCAATTTTACATATAAATAATTATATTGCTGTAGTGTTTGTGTCCGATTTTAAAAAATTAAATTATAATGTTAAAAGAACGATTTTAAGAGTGACAAAATTTATTTAAGAGAGTCGAATGATCTCTGAAATTTTTTGGCAAGAAGAGACCTTTAATTATCGCTCTATAAAAACGGCACTAAACGTGAAAATGATAAACATTGATTTTAAAATACTTTCTTCTCGAAAGACGGACACTTTTTACAAAAGCAGCTAGAGATCATTATCTTATATAAATTTCCTAAATCCGAAAGATTATGCGAATCCATACAAAAACACGATTGCAAAACGAAAAGTAATATAATGAGGGGTTCATTACCTCCTGCCGCCGTCAGATGGCAGCAGCATGCAGGGCGCACAAAGTCGCAGCTGTTATTAGATTATTTTTTTCTACTTTTTGTTTTGCAACCATGTTTTTCTATGGATTCGTACAGTCTTTTGGATTTAGGAAATTTATAAGATGAGGATTTTGGCTGATTTTGTTAAAAGTGTTCGTGTTTCGAGAAAAAAGTATTTTAAAATCAATACTATTTCACGTTGAGAGTGATAATTAAAGCTCTCTTCTTGCCAAAGAATTTCAGATACCGTTCGACACTCTTAAATATAAAAACGAAACAAGAAAATAACTTCATTGTTAATAAATTTATATGAACCCAAATCTAAAACATCTATTATCTATGAGAGATTCTTTTTCAATCGCCCCAGCCCAAAAAGTCAATGTTCTGGGATTGGCTTCATACTTTGGTAAATTGTTGTCCTATATGATAGTAATAAATCCCTAAAATATAAACTCATTAAAAAAATATTTGTAGAAAGTAGAGGGGGTTGAAGTTTTGACGTTAAGGGTAACATTGTCATTTTCAAATCCGTATAACTATGACAAAAGTTAATGGATTTTAATTTATCTATAATGAATTTTATTGCATTTTTCACGTACTTTTCAAAAATGTATACAAAATTAAAAAAAAAAAATTTTTGACCCTTTTTTTTTCAAAATCAACCCTTATTTTTCGATTTTCACCCCTTCAGGAATTTTTTTTTGTTTTTTTTTTATTTTCATTGGAAAGCTGAGGTTTTTTCCCATGAGCTATGTAAATATGAAAATGGGACAACAATAATTTTGTGAGAAACATAATATTAAATTAGGCGGTGCCTATCTAAATCCTCAAAGATGATCTCCAGGTACACCCCTTATCGGCACCGCCTACTTTAATATTCTGTTACTCACAAAATTATTGTTGTCCCATTTTCATATTTACATAGCTCATCGGAAAAAACCTCAGCTTTCCAATGAAAATAAAAAAAAAAAAAAAAAAATACCCGAAGGGGTGAAAATCGAAAAATAAGGGTTGATTTTGAAAAAAAGGGGTTAAAAATTTTTTTTTTTAAATTTCGTATACATTTTTGAAAAGTACGTGAAAAATACAATAAAATTCATTATAGATAAATTAAAATCCATTAACTTTTGTCATAGTTATACGGATTTGAAAATGACAATGTTACCCTTAACGTCAAAACTTCAACCCCCTCTACTTTCTACAAATATTTTTTTAATGAGTTTATATTTTAGGGATTTATTACTATCATATAGGACAACAATTTACCAAAGTATGAAGCCAATCCCAGAACATTGACTTTTTGGGCTGGGGCGATTGAAAAAGAATCTCTCCTATACGCATATAAGTATACATTAAATAAATTCTGGTTCCTCATAAAATACTATTTTTAAATATTTAAAACTCAATTTGTTTAAATTGGGCACGTAAGCTGATTTTAAAAACCTATTGAGAAAAGTTTTTTTATTCATCTTAGAACTATAATCAAAAAGAATTTTTAAGTGCCAATTCATTTTTATTTAAACCTCCTTCTGGCGCACCGTGAAAAGTCAAAGAAAAACAAAATAATATTTTTCTGTCAACCCTGTAAATGGAAATTTTGCCAACTAGAAAATCAATTTTATAAAAGTTGGACTAAATAAAAATTTCTTTTATGAATTTTTATAAAAATTCCTAAATATGTAAATTAAATTCATATTTTACTTTTAAAAAAAATTTTATTATGTAGAAATTCGAGCTTATTAATTTCAAAACCGTCGAAATTCTAACCTGTGTCCCTGTCTTTTTAATTGAAAATGTTTTTTTTTCTCTCTTTTCCCTAAAGGTATATCGAGGGTTTGAACGTTGAGAATCGTTACATATCAAATTGGGACAAACAAATGAGTGCAACACCTGAAAATACTCAAATACCTGAAATAACAAAATTGCCAAGCGAATGGTTGGGAAATGGAGTTGGCAATCATGGAAATGTTGTAAACGCCTTATGGACACTGAGAAATATGATGATGCGCGATGTATTAGCAATTAATAAAACATTGTAGTTAACTGGAAAAATCGAGCTATTTAATATAATTTCACATTTTTGACATCAACAAAAATACTCGAAAATGTTGGTCCGCAACTCAAGACTGATGATTTTATATTTTAAAATAATTTTCAGAATTTTTCAGCTCGATTTAGCATTGTTTTTTTTATCATTTATTTTTGAGATATTTCTCAAAAAAATTGCACATAGAACACAAAAGAAACATAAATATATGTTATTATATGATCCTCAGGTACAGTCGAAAAATTGATAAAAATTTTTTTTTCAATTTTTGTGTGTACAATGCACATCGAAACTGCTAAATATGTGTAAAATATCTTGTATCTCAAATATATGTGAAATATTGTCAAAAAAAAAGAGAGATATTGCTATAGGCGAAAAAAAAGTAAAATTGTGAACCCTTAGAAATTTTGATATGTTTTGCAAATAATATTAAGAAACATAATTTGATACTGAATGAATTTGTATTTAATTTCTTTTTTTTTTTTATCGTTTATCTGACAGTGAATTTATATATATTTTTTGTTTTGTAAATGCGATTTGCATTTTATTTTCTAAATAAATCTTAATGATTAATGTAAATGCAATTGAAATTATTGTGTGTGAAGTATGAATTTTTGTAATTTTCTGTTTTTTTTTTTTTGGTTGAAAAAAAATGGATATTGTAATTAATTTTGAAATTTTGAAGAGATTTTCTACGGGAGTGTGTAGTTAGCAATAATTTCTTTGTATTTTAAATACAAATTTCTATCATTGAGAAAAGTGGAGAATTTTTCTTTTTTTATTTAAAAATCCGTAACCCTTCCACCGTGCTGCCAATCGCCCCATTTGGTTGGTTCTTTTTCTGAATTGGGAATAATTTCACCACTTTTTGGATCAGTTTCCACGAGAACCAAGTCGATAAATCGCATGGAACGATCTATTTCCGCTGTGTTGAATAAATGTAAGTATATTTAAATTCAGTATTTTTATTCTATTTGTTTTTTTCTTTTAAAAACCGTTTTTTGTTATATAAAAAAAAAATTTGAAATTAAAACCAAATTTATTGGAGCGCATGATTTTTTTTTAAATAAAAGTCATTAATTAGAATTTTTACTTTAAAAAATTTTTTATAGAAGTAATTATTTTTTAGACGAATTTTCATTTTTCGAATTAGCATTTGACAACGATTTCTTTTTATACTTTTTACTTAACAAAATTTTTAGCTATCGAATTTTTGTTTGGCAGAATGTTTATTTTACAGAAATACTATTTACCTAATTTTTTATTTAAAAAATTTAAATTTAAATTTTTAATTTAACAGAATTCTCATTAAATCGAATTTTATGTGATACGAATTTTTAAATGACAGAAATACCAATTCACCGAATATTAATTTGTCCAAATTTTTAATGAATAGAATTTTTAAAGACGCAGAATTTTCATTTGTCCGAAATCGCAAATGACCGAATTAATAATCGACAGAAATATTTTGGCGCAATTTTCAAAAATTGACCAATTAGAAAATATCAAGAAAATCGTGATTGGTCAATTTTCAAAAATTGCGCCGAATTCTTTCTGTTGAATTTTTTTTCGGCCATTTGTAATTTCGGACAAATAAAAATTCGGTGTCTTAAAGATTCTTTCAATTAAAAATTCGTATAAATAAAAATTCGGAGATTTGGAATTTCTGTCATTTAAAAATTCGTATCGCATCAAATTCGATTGAATGAGAATTCTGTTAAATTAAAATTCGCTGAAATTATAATTTTTTTTTCTTACGTGGTAAAACATCGGCCTTGAGTTTTTCGTGAAACTTTTGCATTCGTGCAGATTCATTTTTATTGACATTTTGAATTTTTTCGTTACTGATTTCAGCTTGTGACAAAGAACCTAAATAATTAATGTAGTTAATAAAGAAAATTTTACTCTATTTAAAAAAATGAAAAATATTTTAATTTCTTTGTATTTTTACTTGTAAAATTTTTATTTTCTTCAAAAATATTTTAAATAGAAAATATGCTTAGAGATTAAAATAAAATTAACCTACTTTTGGAAAATTTTTTTTTTTCAAAATTCATTCTTGTAGTGTGGGAAAAAATTAAACGTCGAGTTAACATATTCCCTCGTTAAAATAATTAAAATCTACTAAATATAACAGATATAACACTAATAAATAAATGATTAAACTTTTAAAAAGTTACTTTTTCCAGTTTTTTACAAAGTTGCTTTACAAACTTTTAGTTTGGTTGGACTGACAGTAAAAAAAACTGAAGCATGCTTCAGTTTCTCAATTCAAATATTTTTTTTTTTTTAATAATTCTGCATTTCACAGTTTTTCTTTTTATACGAATTTTTAATTTTAATTAAAAATTCTGTCAATTAAAAATTCGTATAAATAAAAATTCGGTGAATTGTAATTTTTGTTATTTAAAAATTCGAATCACATAAAATTCGATTGATTGAGAATTTTATTAAATTAAAATTCGCGTAAATTAAAATTCTAGTAAATAAAAAAAATTCGTATAAAATTAAAAATATGTCGAATTGTAATTCAAAAACTGAAAATTCGTCCAAAAAATAATAAATTATAATAAAAACATGTATTAAAAATTCTAATTAATGATTTTTCATGTATGTAATCCGCCTTTGTTGTTTACATATTTAAATTTTCGCGCCAACTCGAAACGTATGCGCAACTAAGTGTGACCTTGATGTGAGTCGTCTGCTAATGTCAAACAAGTGCAATGTTGACTTCTAGTAATATTTTTCTTTTATTATGTATACAATTATAAAAAAAAGTAAATATAATAAAAAAAAACTAGTAGAATATTTTTGTTGTTAGTTGAAATAATTGTGATTTATTATTTTGAAATTTAATAGAGATTGCAGACACGTTATTAACTTAAGATTAGGTTAGTGCGAATTATTGTGATTCGAAAAAAGAACAAGCAGACGAAACAATTTAAAATGTCTATATTAACAGTATCGCGATTAATAAAACAAAATAACAGCTTTCTTCATTCTTTCAATGGTAATTATTAATTATTTATTATTAGCGATTTTGATTAATTATTTGAAAATTATTATTAAAATTAATTAATATAATGTAATTAATTAATATAATTGTAATAAATTACATAAAATTTCCATTTATTAACATTTTTTCAGTAGTTGCAAGATTTGAAACAACAAAGAAGAGTGAAGAAAGTCCAAGATTAAAAGAATTTAGAAAAAAGTTACGTGAAAAGACACCAATAGGTATAATTTTTTAGTTTTTTTTTAAACAAAAAAAAAGGAAATTTACAATCATATATACTTTTTTTATATACTTCTTTTTTGTAACATGTTTTTTCAATTTTAACCCGAAAAAGGATTATTTTGCATTTTTATCCAAAAAAGGGTTATTTTGCAATTTTATGCAATTTTTTACGAATTTTTGGATATATACCTTTAAAATTACTCTATTTTTAAAAAGTTACTTATAAACAATTTTTTACCAATTTTTTATGGTTTTTTTTTATTATTTATCGTTTTTTTTTAAATTTTTAGTTAGGAACCTATAATATTGTGCCTAATTTTATGTGTCATCGAAATCAATTGTTTTTAACTTAATAATTTTAACATTTCTTATTTTAAAACGAAACATCTTCTATTATATTAAGTTAACAAATTTCCAAAAGCGACACCGTGACCTCGACACCGTCCTTGAAAAATCTATTTTCAATTATTTTCAAATAAATCAAAATACTTTGCATATATGCTGTTAGAAAATCTTACAAACTATTTTTATGTAACATCTTTTTTCAATTTTAACCCGAAAAAGGGTTATTTTGCAATTTTTTAAGAATTTTTTGATTTTTTCAATTTTTTATGATTATTTTTTATTATTTATTGTTGTTTTTTCAATTTTTAGTTAGTAGCCTATAATATTGTGTCTAATTTTAAGTGTCATTAAAATCAAATGTTTTTAACTTAATAATTTTAACATTTCTTAATTTAAAACGAAACATCCTCTATTATATTAAGTTAACAAATTTCCAAAAGCGACACCGACACCGTGACCTCAACACCCGTCCTTGAAAAATCTATTTTCACTTATTTTCAAATAAATCAAAATACTTTGCCATATGCTTTTAGAAAATCTTACATACGGTGTCGGTGTCGCTTTTGGAAATTTGTTAACTTAATATAATAGAAGATATGTTTGCTTTAAATTTTTTAGAAAAATTGGAAGAATTAGAAGAAGGTAAACATCCGTATCAGGAAAAAGAACCTTTGCAAGCATTTCCAGAAAATAAAAATCCAGTTACTGGCGAAGTGGGTGGACCAAGAGGTCCAGAACCAACTCGTTATGGTGATTGGGAAAGAAAGGGGCGCGTTTCTGATTTTTGATAAATATCTTTAGTTTCTTTAGTCCAATGAACTTAAAAAAAACAATTTTTAGACTCTAATTTCGAATCACATTTTTTTTATTTTTTTGCTTAAAATCTAAATTATTGCTTCTCATTACATTTTAGCGTAACAGTAGTTAGAAAAAAGAAAGTGGTATGAAAAAGAAAAAAAAATTTTTTTTACTATATTTTTCCTAAGCTTTTTTTTTAATTATTAATTGGACGTTTAATGGGTTTTTATTTAACGTATTTTTAGTTTAGAAAACTATAATTTCTTAATGAAAAAATTTATAAAAGCAAATAATAAATGTTCAAACATAAAAAATCTTGATGTAAAACTACGATTTATCATTGTTAATATGAAATTTGTATAATTGTGTGCATAGATTATATTTTTGAATATATATTTGTTTGAAAAAAGAAAATAGTAAAAAACCGTATTTTTTGGATGTGAATCATTTTCCTTTAGTTTTTTTTTTAATTTTTTAATAGAATTTTTATTTCACCGAAACTTCATTTGCCAGAATTTTTATTTCACAGAGTCTAACAGTCAGGGAAAAGTCATGGAATTAATTTTTTGTATGGAAAAGTAATAAAATTTCAATAAATTTCTGAAATTTTGTAACAAATTATAAAAATTAGAGGAAAAACGCCGCCATTTTAATTTCTGCTCTACAGTTTTTCGTAGAAATTTAGAAAAAACTGCGTCATTTTAATTTCTGCTTTAGTTTTATAGTAAAAATAGGTCAGAAATTAAAATTGCGTCGTTTTTGTTCTACTTTTGCGTAAAACTAGAGCAGAAATTAAAATGAGAATTTAATTGGCTGTACCAAAAATTTCGTTCAAGCTTTTGCGTCTGTTAACTGAATAATTTGGTTCTCCAAACCAAACCGTCTGAATGCTCAATTGCGCATGCGCTGTTCTCGTAAATATGTCACACGTTAACCATGCTTCGCTCTTCGTGTCGTCCAGTTTTATTCAAGTGTTTTCGGGATTTTTATGTGTTTCAGAAATTCGGTAAAAATGTGTGTGTAGTGATGCATATCGAACAGAGAGAATAAAGCTTGTTAAAAGAACGGAAGTTTTTCTCCAGCCTGTATACTTTATGCAAATAATTTACACTCACATTGTCACTAGGATCCTTAGTGTAGTGGTCAGCGTTCTTGATTTGCGTTGCGTAGTCTGAGGGTTCGATCCCCAGCAGTGTTAGGTTTTTCCGGAATAGAATTTAATTTAAGTAGACATAGAGTAATAAAAGAGGATAACAAAAGTGATAAAATTAAGTGAAAAATAAAAAATATAAGTGTGAGCCAAAAAATAATTTGGTTGAGAAAAGAACAAAATTTTTTTCATTTAACTAAATTTTTTGTTTGCTTAAAAACAATAAGTTAGTTGTGCAAAACAAAAAATTTGGTAGACCGAACAAAATGATTCAACGAAAAAATTTAGTAGCCCGAACCAAACGGATTAGTTGCACATATATCAAATAAAAAATTTGGTTTGGAGAACCAAACTTCAGTCGATGATACCAAACAGTTTTCTCAGTGTAGGCATAAAAAACTAAAAAAACGACGCCAATTGTAATTTCTGCCATATTTTTACGGAAAAAGTATAGTAAAAATTAAAATTTAGCCGTTTTTGAACTTTTTTTACAAAAAAAAAACTAGGACAGAAATTAAAATGTCGACGTTTTTGCTCTAATTATTTGAAAAAGTAGGACAAAAAAGGCGCTAATTTGATTTCTGCTTTACTTTTTCGTAAAAAATAGAGCAAAAATTGCGATATTTTAATTTCTGCTTTAGTTTTACTGAAAAAATGTCTGCGTTTTTGTCCTACTTTTACGCAAAAAAGACAAAAAAACGAATCTATTTTAATTTCTGACCAAGATTTACGGATTTGAGTCGCCGGAAAGTAAAACCACACATAAAATTCTGACTCCCATTGAATTAACATGGCCGTCAGAATTTTATGTGTGGTTTTACTTTCCGGCGACTCATTTTACCTATTTTTGTTTTTTTTCGTAAAAGTAGAGCATAAATTAAAATTGTACCCTTTTTGCTCTATTTTTCCGTAAAACTAGAATGGAAATAAAACTTCCAATTTCTAGTTTTACGGAAAAAGTAGAGCAGAAATTAAAATTGGGCCTTTTATGTTCTATTTTTCCGTAAAACTAGAGCAGAAATTAAAATGCCGACGTTTTTTTCTAATTTCTCGTAGACATAGGGCATAAACAGAGCTAATTTAATTATTGTCATAGTATTACAGAAAAAATAGAGCAGAAATTAAAATTGCGCCGTATTTGCTCTACTTTTTCGGAAAACTATAGGGCAAAAATTAAAATGCCGACGTTTTTGTTTTAAGTTTTTGTAAATATAGGACATAAACGGCGCTAATTTAATTTTTGTCATCGTTTTACGGAAAAAATAGAGCAGAAATTAAAATTGCGCCGTTTTAGCTTTACTTTTCCGTAAAAGTAGAACATAAAGTTTTGATTTGTCTTTTTCATTTATGTCCTTAATATAATTAGAATTAAGCAGAATAAAATCTTGAGGTTTGCAGCTCGACTCCTTAACATACCTTTTGACATACGCGCTCATGATTACAACGAATTACGTACTGTCATGGGAGTCCCTTTGCTGACCTATATAGATTCTTGTATAATGATATGGCATTTCTTTATAAGTTAATGAATGGAGCTATCTATATTGTCCTTCACTTTTGCTAATGGTAAATCTCTCAGTGCCTAGAAAAATTACAATGGCATTACACATTATTTTCTGCATCTTTTCATAGAACTATGGTAATAATTCTTTAATTGATACGATAAGCAGAGAAGCAAATATGATAGCGGATGAATTGGACTTGTTTGATAGTAATGCGGTCAGATTTAAGTTAGCTTAAATTTTGGAAAAGAAAATTGTTCTTTAACAAATGACAACAAATTTATTATTAATGTACGTATATATCTACATTTGTTTGCTTTTTTGTCATTCATTCACATACACACATACACACACTTCCCAAAACTTTTTCAAAAACATACGCAATTTAAGTAGTTATTACATTTTGGGAATTCTTAAATTTTATCATTTATGATTAAACATTAAATAATAAACTATTTTCAACTATTTTTTATATAAGAACTCTCAAAAAATAGATTTCCAGTTATTTACATTGTACATTAAATTTATTAATAAAGAAGAGCAAGAAAAACACAATTTTCAGAAATAGAAATCTCTTCATTATTTTTCCCCCCCAAAAAAAAGAACAAAATTTTATACCTATTTTACAACTGAATTTCTAATATAAAAACGGTATTTAATAATAATAATAATAATAAAGAAGTTAACGATGTTATCTAATGATTGAATATTATTTTTCATTTTGAAGAATCATCAAAGCGAGTTAAGATTAAAAATTTGACAATATTTGCTACCCGTAGATCTGCCCAAAGACTTTTTTTTCTAGTTACATAATCACAATTAGAAATTGTTATTGGTAGTATAATTTTATTTATATGTATGTGTTTATTGGATATATATATATATAGACAAATATGTATATCTTTTTGTTCAATTCATCCAAGGAGGACATCCCGTTGGAGGTTGAAATGCGTGTGAAACGGGCGGCTGTTGATAATGATGAGCGTTTTGCATTAGATGATGCTGTGGACGCATTTGAGCACCGTGAACCGATGGCGTTACTGGAGGTGGTGGAGGAGGCGGTGGTGGATCACATATGGAATGCATCAAAGGAAGTGGATTATTCGGAAGAGGTTTACCCGAATACGATTGTATTTGTTCATATTCAATGGGTTGTTCTCCAATTCCAATTTGACAAACGGATTGACTATCATCATTGGGACCTAAAACAATGATGATTTTTTCGTTCCAATAATCCATAAATAAGATTGTTTTCATTAGAAAAGTTGAATAAAAATAATATTCCTCTATGCAGATTTAAAATTTAATTAAAAGTGCTGTGCCTACGTGACAACTTTTATTTTGCGACTTCAGGAAATTTCGGTCTATATTTACATGCATTTTTGGGATTAATAGAAAAAAAATAGAAACGAGAAGTCTACTGTGATTCGTGTTAAGTAATCTCTATTGGTAATTTAGTGGAAAAAAAACAATAAGAACCTCGAATCATTCTCAGCCTCGGAGGAGGAAGATTAACAGGCGGAGGAGCTCGATAATGAGGATGATGTTCCTCTCTAGGACCCGGAGGCGCTGGCGGTCGAGCATAAGGTATCCTTGCAAAATTCCCTGGCCAAGGTCCTTGTGGAGCAGGAAGCGGAAGAGAAACAGGTCCATGTCCTAGACCCGATGAATTACCAGGATCCAGATTTGATACATTTTCTTGGCCTTCTAAAACGATTGAGTTTACTTTTTTTTTTACTAAATTCTAACAACTATCCTGATGATAATACATTAATTATTCTACCAAGGCACTAAATTTTCTATAATTTTTAAATTTATTTAATTTCCGCGTACTCCGAACTGATTTGAGATTTGTCTATTTGTCCGCATTAATTTCAGACTTTATATAATTTTCGGAATGTTTTTCTATGACAATTTAGATAGATTAAGTGCACTTAAAAATCTAAAGTCGAAATGAGTCTGAATCCGAAATTTTTGATGTAAGAAATCTGCAATTAGTCCGAAATAATCCGGATTGAGTCGGGTTTTGTTGCATTCCAATTTTATAATTGTACTTTTGGTTACAATTTTCGAATGTGGAATTAATCCAAACCAATTCGGTTTATAGTCAGGTTTGTGTCATCTGGAATTAGGCCAGTTGAGTCCGAAATTAGTGTTGTTTGTATTAATAGTAAATTGGGAAATAATTCCATCTAATCCGAAATTAATCTGATCGTACAAATTTAGTGAATACGAATTACTCCTTTTTAAATCGGAAATTAATTCGACTTGTGTAACGAATAATCTGAATCTGCATTCACTTGTCACGTTTGATCGGACTGACTTCGGATTAGATTTTGATTAATTTTGGATTTACTGTAGTTATACAAACCAAACAAATTTCTGACTTAACCGAATTAATTTCGGATGACAAAAACCTAATCAAAATCCGGACTTTTTCGGATTCTACAAAATATATGTTCCTGGTTTTACTACTTTTTTAATTTCGTAAGGGCCTTCATAGACTTGTAGGAATTTTGCTATTATTTTATTTTCTTTATCAGACCTATTTAGTAATTTAAACCAATTTTCCCATGCTCTTTTAGGTTTCCTATTGAGATCTAATTCGACGGGCGTAAACTCGGTGATTTCATGGTGGGTTTTATTTAAACAATTTTCAATTACTTTTATCCAATTCCACCAAGAACTACGTTTACCGTTGGTAAGGGTTCTAAAAAATCTAGATAACTCCCGATGTATTCGTTCAACAATATTTCCTTGTGGGTGTCTAATTGATGAAAATACCGATTGTATCCCTTCTTCTTTTAGTTTACTAGTCCATAACCCTAAAGTAAATTGAGTTCCAGGGTCAGTAATTATTTTCCCAAATTTTCCGAATTCTTTAAAATGATGATTGAAAATTTTATTAATAAGCGCTTTTGCGGTCATTTTTCTAATAGGATATAATTTTACATATTTACTGAAAGCATTTATAGTAGATATTATATACTTAAATCCTCCCTTAGAAGTTTGTAATGGACCATAAGTTGTCAAATAATTCCAAAAGTTTCACGTGAGAATGTGTCTCACGCACAGACGAACAAAGAGTGAAAAGCGGACCCGGTGAATTTTGGTAATGCATCAGTATATCGAACTATTGGCGCTATGATCGATGTAAGGTCACAGGATCGAACTGTTAACTTTTTGACCCTAATCGATTATTTTAAGATATTTGATCCTTTTTTATCGAAATAACGTCAAAAAATATTTCCATCACAAAATAAAATTACCTGAAGTAACAGCACCCATAGACTGATCACCATTTCGTTTATCACCTAATGAAAAAAATCCATTTCTATTAATTCACATTATAATATTGAACATAAATTAATAATAGACGGTTAACTATAATAAATTTGTTGAAAAACATGCTTTTTGGAATGAACACCAATAATTACTGACAAGTTTCACTTCCTTCCCAATTAATTTGATGGTTGTAAACTAGAAAAATTATTTAATTAATTATAATGTAGAATCGAGGCAATACCATCTCCAATAAAGTTGATAATTTCTCCCATTCTCCGCCACACTGAAATATATCTTAAAAATCATTTCCAAATTGAAAAGAAAAACGTTGATAACCTTGCGACAGCTTATTTCCTACTTGAAAAAAAGACAAAAACAGAAAGCCTGTACATATGATAGTATCTGAAATTGTTCCTGTAAAAAAAGAACTACAACGAAAGAAATAGTTGAGGAAAAATAATCTCGATCCACTTCACGAAAAATATTCTGTAAATATCGAGAGAGAGAGAAAAAGAGGTTTGAAACTAATTTAAGCGAAAAAAAGATGAAAATTCGGTTATAAAAAACAAGTCGAATTGTCATCTGTATATATACATAATGGATATTAGAAAATTTAGTTAACCAAATTTTTGGATTTTAACTGAAGAAAATAATAATTAGTTTTTTTTTCTTTTTTCATATTTATATAATTCTAGTAATTATAAAAGAAAAAACGAACGCGCTGCCTCTGGCATTAAAAAAAAAACAAGACAAAGAGATGCTAAATCCTTTCCAGAAGGTATCCAGCACATTTTTTCCCAAGATACCGTGAACTACAGACCTGGATGTGTGGATGGATGAGGCTTGACTCGATCATCGGATGATGGACCCAAACCAGCCGCAGATGGGGAACTGTGTAGAACTGCCCGATGACGATCTTCATCTCTGTATAAACAGTCGAGTTACAATTTGTTAATAATCAACCGTGAAATTTATTAATCGAGGGGCGAATTTTTTTTTTAAACGTCCCCCTCATTTTCTCCGTCTCAAACTTTCTGAAATGCACAAAACAGAGAATAATAAAAAAAATAATCACAATTTTAACTCTCCTTTTCATTTTATTTTTTTCTCTGTTTAAATCAAATGTTCTTTCTGCATTGGAGTTACTAAAAAATAAATTACTTTTTTCGTTATACTTCAACCATCTCAGAATAATACAATTTTTTTTTAATCTTCTTTTTAGTTTATCTGCTTTATTTAAATTATATTTCTGTAAAAAATAGTTTTTTTTACACTCCAACCATCTCAGAATAATCCAATTTTTTTATCTTCTTTTTAGTTTATCTGCTTTATTAAAATTATATTTCTGTAAGCTATAAATTTGCAATAAACCTCTTTTATTTCTTCAATGTGGCTATAATTTTGTAAACAAAAAAAAGAATTTTTGTTAATTTTTTTTTCTTTAATACTATATGGTTTAAATAATTATAAGTATACAACAATGAAGATAAAAACATGTAGCGAATGATCCAATAAGCAAGCACTGATTCTGTTTTCTTAATTAATTAATAAATTAATTTCAAGAATGTTAATTTTTTACAATACGATTCTTTAAATTTATAATTCATTTAATACTCTTTACCACTTCATGACAAAAATTATTTCGATGATTCTTTATTCACCTTAGAATAATTGGAATTCAATATTTTTTTATTCGTAATAGAAGTGCTTTTTATCTATGAAAATATGAGTGATTTGGTATTTTGTAAGTTTTAACGGTTCAAAATTTTGCTTAAAAAATTTCAAATCATCCATATAAAATCTGAAATCTAGAGATACACTAAAAGAAAAATTATTTCCGAAACCAATTAATGGCTAAAATATGTTTTTTAATTATTCCATTTTGCATTTATTTTTATTATCACTCTATTATTTCTTTTCTATGTAATAATGATAAAAATGGAATAATTATACGATTTATTTCCAATCACCCAAACACGTACAAATGCGACAAAAAGCCTTGCATTAAAAAGTATTAGAAGATTTCAATTCTCAATAATTCCTTTTTTGTCCAACTTTTTTTTATTTCTCAACCAGGTGTCAAGAGAGTATAATTATAATTAGGTATTTGTTATCAGAAATTAATCCGGTGAAATCCGAAATACGGTTTGTGTAACTACAAGAATGTGAAGATTGTAAAATAATTCCAAAAGTTGAGACCGAAATTAGTGTTGTTTGTATTAATAGTAAATCCGGAAATAATTCCATCTAATCCGAAATTAATCTGATCGTACAAATTTAGTGAAGACGAATTACTCCTTTTTGAATGGGAAATTAATTTGGCTTCTGTAACGAATAATCTGAATCTGCATTCACTTGTCACGTTTGATCGGACTGACTTCGGATTAGACTTTGATTAATTTCGGATTTACTGTAGTTATACAAACCAAACAAATTTCTGACTTAACCGAATTAATTTCGGGTGACAAAAACCTAATCATAATCCGGACTTTTTCGGATTCTACAAAATATATGAAGGGTAGAATGACAAAAGGGGTCAAGCGCCAATTTATCGAAAATGAGGTTTTTGCATAAAAAAATCAAGAAAATTCATTTACACATTTCTGTAGAAGGATTTCCTTTTTTATTGCGTATTTAAATCAGTTTTTAATAAAAATTAAATTAATAAAATAGCCTCAAATTTACTTTATTGCAACCTGATTGAAAAACAAAAGAAAGTGATGAGTCAATAATATTATCAAAATAAAAAAAAAATATTATTTTTTTAGGTTTTATTTTAATATTTTATTTTAATTTTATTTTAATAATATTTTAATTAATAAAATTAATAATAATAATAATGTATTTTCAATTTTAAACAATTTTAAAATCATTTTGTTATTAATTTTTAAATATTTTTATGGTTATACTAAGTGAACAATTGAATTTAAAGATGAAAGTATTGCTCAATTCCAAAGCAAGCAATTAATTCGTAATTTTCTTGAAAACAAACAATTTTTTAAAGGAATTTTTTTTTCTATTCATTTCGTCGATTCCATAGAAAGAAACTAATTTTCCAGTTTTTCTTTAAACTGTATATTTTTTTTATAATTAATGCTTAAAGAAAATGTGCGTAGTTGATATAACCTCAAGACACCACAGTTTTTTTTAATTTTATCGTTAATATGTAGGTTTATTTCAACAAATTGTTGTTTATTTATTAAAACATACTAATATATCGAAACGGTTTTCTCAGTTTTTTTTTAAATGACCTGCAAAATTTTTAAAAATGTTTTTTTTACTTCCTGTAAAAACAGTGAATTGGCGCTTGACCCCTTTTGTCATTCTACCCTTCATATGTTCCTGGTTTTACTACTTTTTTAATTTCGTAAGGGCCTTCATAGACTTGTAGAAATTTTGCTATTATTTTTTTTTCTTTATCGGACCTATTTAGTAATTTTATTAGAACTTTCTCTCCTAGTTTGAAATTCTGTTAGTTTATGCGAAATGTTAAATTTTGTGCTATTCTTTTTCTCTTTTTACAAATTTTATCATATGCTAATTCTAATTTTCTATCATAATCCAATTTTTTCGGAATTGGTGTAAAGTTGAACCAATTTTCCCAAGCTCTTTTAAGTTTCCTATTAAGATGTAATTCGACTGGCGTAAACTCAGTTGTTTCATGGTGGGTTTCATTTAATTAAATTTTAATTACTTTTATCCAATTCCATCAAGAACTATGTTTACTGTTGGTAATGGTTCTAAAAATATCTAGATAACTCCCGATGTATTCGTTCAACAATATTTTCTTGTAGGTAATAGATAGATTTATTTTCTTCATTGTACACTTTCTAAGTTTTACAATACATTTTTCCCCATTAATTTCCTCTTATCATTTTTCGATTGTTTTAGTATAATTTCCGGAACTAATCAGAACTGATCTATTCGAAACTTTTGCTCTTTACATAGAAATTAGCGTTGTCTAAACAAATTGCATGTGGACAAAAAAGAAGTTCAAAAAAATTTACTAATTCAATATAATGAAATTTTCCCAAAATACTTTTTAATCTAAGCCTTCTTACTCGTTTTCTAATAGTATCGTGTAAACAGCATTTATTAAGGTAAATTTGCATATTATATTTTTTATTATTTCAGTATGGAAAAGAAATTTGTTTTAATCATATTCAATTGAAAATTAGTTTCAAAAACCTTTCTGTAAACACGTTCTATATGTATACAAGCATTCATCAAACTATCACTCTTTTATGAAGCAAATTTATCATCTTTTTTTATAAAAGTGTATCTCAAAAACTTTTAATTCTTATGTTTCTAATGTAAACTGAATTATTTTAATAGACCGTAATTTGTTGCTTATTTTCCAAAAATTAGAATCCCGACAAGAAGGCTTGTATCAATAGTTTTTGAAATACACTATCATAATTTTATTATATTAAAATATTTTATGCGGAAGCTTCTAGAACAGTGTGGAACACCATCCATTGAATCAGTCTCTGGATTACTTACTTTTATGAAAGCATCTGCGATAGAATTCTCTAAAATATAGTCAGTAAAATATACACGTATTTTTTAAAATTAATTTTTTTTTAAATCAAATGACTGACATTAGAAAATTTAATCTTTTGAGGATGAAAAGTAAAACTTTTATTTTATCTACAATGTAAATGAAAGCATGTAACGTGAAGTGATCCTCAAAAGATTAATATAAAAAAAAAGAATAATGTGGAAATATATATATAGAAGTTACCTATTTTCTATTAGAGAGAAAAAGTTGATAACTTACCCCATGCCATGACGTTGAGAAGGTGGTCGCATTCCCGGATGAATTGGTGATTCCTAATATAAATTAATTTTTAACACAAATTTTATATTGAAAGTTGTTATTAATATTTTTTTAATTGAATTCCGTTCTGTATTGTTTTCGTAAAAACATTAATTAAAGAAATTTACCTCAACACCTTCAAGATCGGAAAATCTTCGCTTAACTCCTTGCAATTTGTGCTGATCAGACAATTCGGGTTTTGGCTCCATATGATGCGGTGGCTGAAGTGCATAATGAACTTGAGCTTGTATTTGTCCATTGTGATATTGCACTTGTTGAGCGTGATAATGCATCTGTGCTTGAACCTCTGGTGGTGGTAAATTTGGTGCCGGAATTTGCATCTGGAAGAAATTTTCATTTCAACCATATATTTCACATTTCCTTTGCATATATCTATTATTTCAACTAGAAACCCTTTTAAGATCCGGAGCCTCAATTGTATAAATAACGAAAAAATAAAATACAATTTTTATAAACAGATATTTGGCATAATATATTTGCCAAGTGGCTCGTACAAATTTACACGAAATACTAACTAATACGAGCTAGTACCGAAGTCCCCTAGTACGAGTGTTGGTACTCAAGTCGCAAGACCCATTGCACCTAACCCTGGCAAGCTCGAACTCAGTCTCCCTCCTTGGAGTCCAGTCCTATTACAAAGGTCAGTAACTCTTGTACTGAGAGGTTGCGGATCCAATCTGGGTCTACAAAGGCATAACCCTAGCATTGATATCTCACTGCAGCATAAGCTGGACAGTGACATAAAACAAGAGTCGAAAATTCCTCATCTGTATCACACAATCTGTACCTAGGTGAGACGTTTCTTTCTATTTTGTGCTGATGATAGTTTAGGAGGCCATGTCCTATGAGCAACCTAACCCCAGCTCTAACTCTGATTTTGTTGAGTTTCAGAAGGGCCTCGGCAAAAAACTTAAGAGTTTTAATCTTAACAGAACCTTGGCCTGTCTACCTACAATAGTCTCTGCCCACTCTCTCTCTCTCATGACATCCCCTAGACCATCTTTCTATGGGCCTTTTTACCGCGCCTGGCATAATGCCTACCGCCGGTTCCGGGCCTACCATAGTCATCTCAGACCCTCTACAGGCTAAGATATCAGCTTATTTATTTCCTCTGATTCCCGAGTGTACTGGCACCCAGATCAATGAGATATTATTTTTTAAACCCAGCTCGTCCAATACCTTCTGGCATTCCCAAACTAGTTTTGATTCTATAGTCGGATTACTCAAGGCGTTTAAAGCCGTCTGACTATCGACACAAATATTAATTCTTTTGCCTGATTTTTATTTTTCAAGACAAAACATTACGCAAGTCATTACAGCGCAGACCTTCGCCTGCCAAACCGTGATGTAATTACCTAAAGATAATGTCACTTTAGTGGCATTAGACTTACAGTATACACCTGAACCTGTGCCTCTTTCCATCTTGGATCGATCCGTATACCAAACTTCACCTCCAAGTAGACAGCCTTCTTCCCAATCCTTTCTCAAAGGAATAATGGTCTTAAAGCGAGCTTTGAATTTCACTCTTTTGATCATTCTATCTTGTCCCATACTAATTTCTAGGATCTTCAGTATAGAGGCTTGAGAGTTTTGTGTGTTTTCCCCTAGCTCTCCATTTTTCCTGTGCTTGAAGTCTGCTAATAGTGAGAGCACCTTTCTTGACCGTTAAAATGTATAGAGGTTCTTATGCCAACAAGAAACCTAACGCTAAAGTTGGCGTGGTTCTCATCGCGCCAGTAATCCCTCTAAACACTATTGCCTGTAGTTCTTCAAGCTTCATTTTTACCGTTTTCAACTGGCTTGTAATCCATCAAACAACTGATGCATGCAGAAACCTTGGCAACAGGACCATACGATAGAGTCATTGAACCATATCCGGTTTTAGAGCCCAAGATGATCCAATTGTTCTCCTGCAAACCCAAAAAGTAGTGCAAAAACCTACTATACTGATACTCTAAGTGCTTTCTCCAGATCAGCTTCTTGGCCAGAATCACTCCTAGATATTTAACTGAATTGGAAAAGGACACTTCTTTTTCATAAAATACAGGTTTCCTTGCAATGGGAACCTTGTATTTTCACCTGAATACTTTAAAATTATTACCAAATCTTTCAGGTTTATAATCGGTGACGTAATGTATTGTTCCCTAATAAACTCAGGTACTTAATACACTGAGGAATAAACTAACAATTAAGTTGGAGAATTTGGGCGATTTGCGATTCGCCGCTGACTCGTCCCCGTATACCTGCCCGGCGACGGAATTTCGTCACGACTTGTTCCCCCAGTCTGTGGTCTACCCCTCCGTCCGTAATGGTTAGAACTAATAAAATTATCTCAAATATTTACTCTTAAAAATTTCACTTCTTTCTATTATAATAACTTTTATGCTCCCACCTGACTTTGTTCGTAGAATACTTTCGGCCATATCCGACCCCCTCACTCCAAGGTTTACTTAAAATATGTAAGCGAGTGGAACTTAACGCGGCCCATTAATTCACGTGGGCTGCTGTTACGATTCCCTCCTGATTTTTTAAGTCTTATTTTGTTTTATTAAACATGAATGTTTTTGACATTGTTACATCCCGAGCGAAAGGCGAGGTTGAATTTAATTTTAATTAATAAAATCAATTTAAAAATTTTCGAGGAATGGTAGGCCACGGTGCGCCAGAAGGCGGTTTAAATAAAAATTAATTGGCACTTAAAAATTCTTTTTGATTATGATTCTTAGATGAATAAAAAACATTTCTCAATAGTTTTTAAAATCAGTTGACGTGCCCGATTTAAATAAAATTGAGTTTTTATATAAAAACAGTGTTTTATGGGGAATCAGAATTTATTTAATCTAATAAATACTGTAATAAATGATAAAATAATTACTTATTTTCAATTTTACATATAAATAATTATATTGCTGTAGTATTTGTGTCCGATTTTAAAAAATTAAATTATAATGTTAAAAGAACGATTTTAAGAGTGACAAAATTTATTTAAGAGAGTCGAATGGTCTCTGAAATTTTTTGGCAAGAAGAGACCTTTAATTATCGCTCTATAAAAGCGGCACTAAACGTGAAAATGATAAACATTGATTTTAAAATACTTTCTTCTCGAAAGACAGACACTTTTTACAAAAGCAGCTAGAGATCGTTATCTTATATAAATTTCCTAAATCCGAAAGATTATGCAAATCCATACAAAAACACGATTGCAAAACGAAAAGTAATATAATGAGGGGTTCATTACCTCCTGCCGCCGTCAGATGGCAGCAGCATGCAGGGCGCACAAAGTCGCAGCTGTTATTAGATTACTTTTCTACTTTTTGTTTTGCAACCATGTTTTTCTATGGATTCGTACAGTCTTTTGGATTTAGGAAATTTATAAGATGAGGATTTTGGCTGATTTTGTTAAAAGTGTTCGTGTTTCGAGAAAAAAGTATTTTAAAATCAATACTATTTCACGTTCAGAGCGATAATTAAAGCTCTCTTCTTGCCAAAGAATTTCAGATACCGTTCGACACTCTTAATGCATAAATATAAAAACGAAACAAGAAAATAACTTCATTGTTAATAAATTTATATGAACCCAAATCTAAAACATCTATTATCTATACGCATATAAGTATACATTAAATAAATTCTGGTTCCTCATAAAACACTATTTTTAAATATTTAAAACTCAATTTGATTTAAATTGGGCACGTAAGCTGATTTTAAAACCTATTGAGAAAAGTTTTTTATTCATCTTAGAACTATAATCAAAAAGAATTTTTAAGTGCCAATTCATTTTTATTTAAACCTCCTTCTGGCGCACCGTGAGGATGATTAAGTCAAGTTGGTAAGGCTTGACTCCATAATGTCGCTCCTTAGGTGGTGTATGGTATGTTTTTTGTTTTTAATGTAATAGTATATTGCGTGCCAAGGGGAGAAACGCACTCTTTTGCGACGAGGGCGGCAAGTCACTCGAGGCGAAAAAGATGATTCTCCCCGAGATACGCACTATACTTTTCACAACAACCCGATTAAAAAAAATAAATAAATAAAAGAAAAAACCATGTTATTTTAAACAATTTTATTCTTTTGATTTTTCCGGTAATAATTGAGAAACAGCATTTTTTGCTGCTTCTGATAATTCTGGCGGTGTACACTGGGACATTGACTTTAACAAATTAATAAACTCCCTAAATCACTATTGTTTAACACACAAAAATTACAAAATCAAAAGAATAAATACGATTCTTTATAAGTAAATACAAAATACACCAGCAGGTGAGAAACAGAGATTAGCTTATAGTTTCATCTTTCCACTACAGAGGACAAATAGGTGTCCATCTAACTAACCAATCAGAACGCTCGCATTTACTTTCCTCCCGCTACGTCATCAACTTTCTTCCCGGGGGAAGAAAATTCATGCCGTAGCGGGAGGAAAGTGGACAAGTCAAATCTCGTCTGCCATTGGCTACTTTCGAAGTTCCACAGAGCTGTAGAAAGTGCAGTTTTCGTTAGGGGCGTTGAGAAAAAAAATTATTACAAATTAGACAAAGAGAAAAAAAGATTTAGTCACCTGAAGTTGAGGTTGCGAAGAAGCAACTGGAATTTGTTGCCCCTGATAAAGCCATGGCGCTTGTGGTGGTGGTGCATGAGTAGGAGGCGGAACACTGGTTAGCATATTAACAGAATGTTGAATCGAATCAATCGTCGGTGGCGGTGGAACCATTCTCGGCGGTGGAACAGGTTGAGGAGGAGCAGATTGCACAATCTCCTGACGTTGATGAACGTCAGGAAGCGGTGGTTGTTGCATCTGCGTGCTTGACGTTTCCTGTACCAAATAAGTTTGTCCCGTTCCACCAGCTCCCGGTGGAGGAGGCGGTGGTCCATGAAGATGTATATGAGGCGGTGGTTGTCCCTCGAATTGTATTCGATGTTGTTCATGATTTTGATCGAGTTGTTGAGGTTCGCCGCTAGTTTGAAGGACAAATTGTGTCTGTCCCTGTGAGACGGAGGCGGGAACTTGTTGATATTGGATTTGATAGGTTTGTGGAATTGGAGGCGGTGGTTGATTGGGGGGAAATGGTGGCGGAAAATGTAGATGAAGAAGCGATGGAGGAGGATGATGATGATGATGATTGGCGGGTGGTGGTGGTGGAGGTGGCGGAGGTTGTTGGAGATTGACGTTGACAGTTTCGATAACGCGCGAAGGAGTGGAGGATCTTTGTAGACTGGGTTGAGTGTAGACGTAGGAGACGGCAGCAGGTGGTGCACTGCTGGCGGAAACGAAACCCTGATGAATTGGACTCTGAGGTGGTGGTTGACTCATGACGTACATTTGGGTTACTGGCTGTGAGGGACTCTCGGAACAGGGTGGCAATCCTTGAATTTGAAGGGGTTGTCCCGGATGTATTTGATACTGAACTTGACTTATTGTTGGCGGAGGTCCTATCAGTTGCACTTGACTAACTGACGGTGGAGGAACGAATGTCTGCAACTCCTGCTTTTTCGGAAATCAAATTTTAACACGAAGATTAATTTATTTCTCTTTAGGTAGAAGTTAGTATTATTAATTATTATTTAATTAATCTCTTAACTGCGATGACGAAGATTTGATGGACAAAATCTTTGTCATCAGCAATTAAGGGGTTAAATAGAGAAATAAATTACTTGAGCATGATCAGTTGGTTGCATGGGTCCTGAATGCATTCCAGGTCCAGGAGTACCGGCTACAGTTGCCGTAAGAATAGTGGCTGGTAAAGTGACAACACTATTTTGAGGATGTTGGATTATGTCTGAAAAGGGAGAGGATTGTAGCTCAATATAGAAACAGTAGGGGAAAACTAAAAATTTCTATTCTTTACCTTGATGTTGTATAGTGACAACATTGGGTTGTCCTACAGCACCAATATTCATTGTTTGAAATTGAGCTGTAAAAAGCGATTTTACAAAAATGAAAACTAATTTATTAATCTATTAGAAGTAATGGATTTTTGATATCAATTAGTGATGTAGTTGATTATTGTTTTTTTTATTAATGTCATATCTAAGAAATTTATTTTGTTATCCACTTTTAGTTCATGAGTGAATTTCAAATTAATATTAGGTAGTATTAAATAATAATCATGGGAACAAAAGAAATAATAGCTATTGTCTAAATTTAAAGAGAATCTTTCCAATAATTATTTAGTTTTTTAGCGTTTGTTATTAACTTTTCAAAAATTCTTCTACTTGTTTAAAAAATTGATTGTTTATCGTTTCGAAGAATTTGAGTCCAAATTGTTGACGAAGATAATCCATAATTTTTACAGTGGAATTTATTGTTCCTTTTTCGTATTCACGAATAATCTGTAGGGAAAAAATTAAGTTAAAAATGATTCTCACCTTGTTGAATTTGTTGTATTTGTGGCTGGGGCATTACTTGTTGTGACTGTACAGGGGGTGGTTGTTGCTGTATATATGACTGTAGTTCCGATTGCATTGTTTGTATTAAATTAATTGCCAATTGTTTTGCATTTTGCAATACAGGGGGATTTGGATGTCTAGAATTACAACGAGATAAGTGTTAAAGAAATCAGATTTCGTAAGTTCAATTTAAAAAATAGGATTTTGCCAGGTAGAAAAGATTTTTTTTTCTAAAGAAAGGAATTTCTAATGAAGAAATAGTGTAATTTACTCGATATAAAGATGAAGAGGTTCCGGTGATTCTGTACCCAAAGCAGGATCAATAAATTGTGATCCACGACCTCTAAGTGTAACTGTAGCTCCAGTTTCGCCTCGAATATACAATAAATTTGATCCGCCAGCACCAATAATACGACCTCGCAATCCAAAACCTTCTGGAGCATTTTCAATTCCAACACAAATTTTTTCCTGCAATTTTTAAATTTAAAAAATTCTACAATAAAAGTATTGTCATAAAAGTATGAGAATATTGTTGAAAATAAAACTCACGACAGAAGGAACTCCAGAATGTAAACTCATAAGCGGTGGTGGAGCATTTGTAAATCTACTTGGTCTGTTTAAGGAACTTCTATGTTCAGTTTTGATGATTTCGTTAATTTTTTGAATTGCCACTGTAATAAAATAAATTTTTTCTAATTTCTCCATTTAAATTTATAAATATAATTTTTAAAAAAATTACATACTGTCAATGTTGCGTTTAGTGTGACCCTGTATATACAAATAAAGTGGTCTTTCATTTGTACAACGTTGCTTTTCTGATTCTGTCATGAATCGACCACGCGTAGAAACAGTTGCACCTAATTTAAAAAAAGAAAAAATTTTTTTAAATAGTTCAAAAAAATGGTAATAATTGTCTGATTCAAATTTTCCACCTGAGAATCCATTAATTTCATCTTGAATGAAACCTTTTGTAAGTAATGTACGAGCTGTTGGTGGAGTTTCGTTAATTTCAAATTCGGTAGTATACATTTCTGATCCCTTAAATCCACCGTTCGACGATGGTGATATCTATAGTGGGACAATATTTTGTTTGTTTGTATTTTTCTAAAAATTTAATATTAATGAAAAATTACGGGGATTAATGTACCTTATTATTACTAGCATCTGTGTTTCGCAATTTTCCTTTAGCCATATGTATATCACAGAGTTTATTAACTGTCAATAGAATTCTCCACTAGTAAAACAAAAAAAATATAGTTCAAAGAAACAGAATAGAAATATATTGTTTATTTTTATTTTTCCGTTAAATTAATTTATAAATACTTTGAAATTTTTGTAGATTAAAATTACGATAATGGGAATATTATAATAATTATTACTACGATTGATACAATTCATTATATAGAATTGGATTTTCAAATTAATATATAAATTTGAAACTTTATTTAATAAAAATTATGGAAGTTATAATTTTTTTTTAATTTAACGTCTATCAAAAGCCGAATACTTTTGAAATACGTTTTTTTCTCTTCTACTAAAAAATAAAGATAATATTATCTAAAAAATTTGTTCCATTTTTCTTTAATATTTTTAATACGTAGTAAAAAAAAAACTAAAAATAAATAAAAAATAACAAGGGAAGCATTTAAAAAATTGAAATTAAATCTAACAAGTGACTGTTCTTAAAACCGAATCGATTTTTGAATTAAAAATAGTATTTTAACTGAAGAAAAACACACATAAACGGGAATAACTTCCTTATTTATCAAAAACGAGATTAAAAAAATAATTTCAAAAATCGATTATTTTGGTTTTATTAACTTTTTAGACTTAATTTCAATTTTTTACATACTTCCATTGCAGTTAGGTTATTATTTATTTATTTTTATTTTTAATTATTATTTTTTACTACGTATTAAAAATATTAAAGGAAAATCAAACAAATTTTTTATATAATATTATTTTTATCTGTTAGTAGAAGAGAGAAAAATGCATTTCAAAAGTATTCGGCTTTGGACGAAGTTTAATTTAAAAAAAGAAATCATAACTTCCATAATTTTTATCAAATAAAGAAAGAAAAAAACTCTGTTTTTTTATTTTTTCTAAAGATTTCGCAAAAAAAAAAAATTTTTGAATAATTCATTCTATTAATTCTGTAATGAGAATAATTCTATAATGAATATTATCAAGAAAATTTATTTCGAATATTTCAGAATCGAACTAATTGTAAGATAAATTTTCAAAATTTTGATTTAAGTAGGATAAATTTCTAAAAAAAAATTCTTAAAGTTCCATTTTTATAATTTTTTTAATTTTGATTTTGCAAAATTGCCTCCTCAATGCCACCTTAAACGAATGAATTTCTTAATTTATGAATAAATTCATTTATTTAAAAAAAAATTGTAAAATTGAATCCTCAATGCTTTCTTAAAACAATGAATTTCTTAATTTATAAATAAATTCATTTGTTTAAAAAGAAAATTTATTTACAAATTTTTGAATTTAAATTTGTAAAATCGACTCCTCAATGCCTCTTTAATAGAATGAATTTCTTAATTTATAAATAAATTAATTTATTTAAAAAAAAAATAAAATTTCAATCGGCAAGAACAGAGAAAAGAAAAAAAATTTGTGAATTTTAATTTTTAAGGAAAGATTTGTAAAATTGACTCCTCAATGCCTTCTTAAACGAAGGAATAAATTAATTAATAAACAATTTTTTTTAATTTACTCTCAATGCCTCCTTAAACGAATGAATTTCTTAATTTATGAATAAATTTATTTATTAAAAAAAAAATTGTAAAATTGACTCCTCACTGCCACCTTAAACGAATGAATTTCTTAATTTATAAATAAATTCATTTGTTAGAAGAAATTAAAAAATTAAAAATTAAAAATTAAAAATTACATTTTACAGAACTAAAAATAATTTATTAGATTATTTTAGATAACATTTTTTACAAGTAATTGAATTTTCAAAGATTTACAATTTAGATTATTGAAATTAATTCAACTTCAAGTGATTTTAAATTTCAAATTTTTAATGATTTCACTAAAAAATGTATTATAAATTATAGATAAAATATACAATAATTTAAAAACTTTTTAAGCGAAAAAAAAATTTCAGATAGTTGAATTTTCGAAGAATATTATAAAAATCATTAAAAAATAATTCAATTTTGAGTTATAATTAAAATTATTAAATTTCAAAAAAATTTTAGATGAAAAATTTTAAAAATAATTAAATTTTAGAAACTTTTAAATTTAAATTTTTTGAAATTAATTGAATTTAAAAATTAAATTTTAGATAATAATTTATAATAAGAGAAATTTTTAGTGATTTCTGTTGATGACGAATTTATTAGAAATCACATAAAAAAATTGAATTCCAAAAGTTTTTAATTGAAAAATGTTTTTAGATAATTGAATTTTCGAAGAATATTATAAAAATCATTAAAAATAATTGAAAATTTTACAAATAATTAAATTTCAAGTGATTTTGAATTAAAAATTTTTTGATAATTTTTATTTGCTAATTTTTTTTTTAAATTATAAACAATTATTAAATTTTCATAAAAATCTTAATTGAAAAATAGTTTAAGAAAATTGAATTTGTTAAAGAATTTCATTAAAATTATTAAAAATATTTAATTTAGTGAAGAATTTTAGTTAAAAATTTGTTAAATAATTGAAATAATGAAAATCTCAAAAAGATCTGCATTGTACACTAAAAAAAAATGTTTTTTGTTTAAAATTTAAAAAAAAAATGTAAAAGACAAAAAAGTCGCATTTTATTAAAATAAGTCGAAAAATGTTGTACTTTTGAAAAAAAGTCGAAAAAAATTGTATAATCCGAGGCCTGTACCAAAATATTTTTATTTATTTTACAACAAAATAAAAAAAAGCTAAAAACACAGTTGTCTTGTTTATACGAAAATCAAAAAAATATATATAGCAAACCGAGCAAACCAAAAACTGTTTATTAAAAAGCAATCACGTTTTCTACATTTTTTTGATTATTAATTTAAAAATTTAAACGAAATGAAATTCGATTTAATGTAAATTTAATAATATACAAATATATTTTTAATATAAAAATAACTTGAAACAGAAAACTTGTAATGGCAGAAAAAAAAACGAGAATATATATATATAGAATATACGAAATAGAAAATAGTAAAAAGTGCTGACTTGAAAATACGCTAGAGGTTATAAATTCTTCTGCAGCTGCTCGTGTATTTTATAATTTTATTATTATTTTGCATAATTTTTTTTTTTTATCTACTTTTCTCGCATCTTTACACCAAACAATTTAATAAGATGCAATTGGATGCAATGAAAAAGGTTAACCATTAATAATATTAATAATAGAAGGTGAAGATACATTTTCAACTCCTGTTAGGCTTTGTTCACAGTAGCGTTGTCACATTTTAGAAGTTCTATGCATCAATTGAGATATGTGAATGAACCCAAATAGTTTTGTCAATCTGCCCAACTTTGTATTGTAAATAAATAAAACATAACCTTAAATTCGAATGTTTTGCAAATGTCAAATGTAACGTATTTATATACATTGTTTGGAATTGTTAATTTAAGTGAAAATTTGTTTTTTGAAAAAAAGAGAAAATATGTCGTATCAAGGTTCACCATTTTCTACAGCCTGTGGTCAAGATGATTTTGAATTAGATGAGGAAAATGAGGAATATTTAGATTATGATAGAGATGCAGAAGATCAGGATGAAAGTGACGAAGGTAAAAACTTTATATTACTATTAAATAAATAAAAGAAATTACAAGTATTTTTTTGAAAATAATTTTAATTATTTACCTCAGCCTTTGAGGGGAATTTTTTTTTTTTACGAAATTGCCTACAATTTTTTATTTTTAAACAAGTTTTTCTGCGAAACTAATTAATGTTTTTTGTCTAAAAATCACAATTTTAAATACGAAATTTACTGAGTGAATTAAATAAAAATCGTTTTAATATTCATAAAGATAAATGAGAAATTTAATATTCAGTTTTATGACGAAAATTACGAATGAATTTAGGTTAGGTTTAGAGAACGAAAATTCGACACAATTTTAAGATTTTTTTTTTCGTATTATACGACTTTTTCTGACTTTTTTCGACTTAGTTTTTTAAAAAAAACGACTTTTTTTAATATTTGTTTTTACTTCTTTTTTATAAATTTTTTTTTTTTGAAATACATCTTTCAGTATAATTTGCAAAAATTTTGATCAAACCGATTTTTTTAATTACAAAATTTTTTATATAATCGAAAATTTAATTCACAGAATTTTTATTTATTCGAATTTTCATTTATCATAATTTTTATAAAATTCGATCAAATAAAAATGTTGATAAATGAAAATTCGAGAAAATAAAAATTCTGTGAAATGAATTTTGCGGTTATTGAAAAATTTTTCTAATATAGAAAATCGATTTAATGAAAATTCGGCAAAATAATAATTCGAACAAATAAAATTTGAATAAAAATTAAATATCTAATGAAATTCGATTAAATAATAATTCTAATAACTGTTTTTTCTTTTAGAAATAAGCATTCCATTTTTAGAAATTTAAGCCATATTTTATTTATTATTTGTAAATAATAAAATATATCCATTTTTAGATACCGAAGAAGCGAGCGAAACTGATATGGGAAAAACAGAATATACTGAAATTAAAGAGCAGTAAATATTAAAGAATATTTATAAAATTTTGTTTTTTAATAATTTTTATTAACTAAAATAAATGTTATTTTATTAAGAAATATATAATGTAATTTTAGTAGTTTTTAGATGTGATTTTATGTAATTAAATCGTCACTAAATTTCAATTAACTAATTTACGAAATTAGGGTCAGCCGGGGTAAATCCGAACGCTAATTATTTCAGCTTAATTAAAATTTTTAAAAATAAGTTCGATATGAGAATTTTTACCTCAGATCCTCTTCAAGAGATTCTAAGTATTATCCCATTTTTCGTTTGTTAATTAGCAAGAGCATAAACAAAGATAACGAGTATTGCAAAAAAGATTGAAAATCAAAGATGACACTCTTTCAGTATTTTGTCTCGTATTTCAAGAAAAAGAAGCTAAAAATTTATTTTATTATTTATAATTGTTTGTTATGAATACTAGAACAGAAACTATTTTTCATTTTTGCCTTCTGTAAAATTTTATTCATAATATCAGACCGTTCGTATTTACCCAGGAAAATTGGAAAACCGGGGTAAATCCGAACGGTATTTTCAATAATTTTTTCTTACATCAGAGCCACACAAAATTGTTTTTATTTCATTACACTATTATTTTAACATTATAAAAGTACATAGAAAAAAGTTTTTCTTTCTATACGTATCCTCGTTAGTAATTAATAAGCAGAAACTTAATCTCTGTTCTCTCGAAGGAGTGTTTCAATTTTTTTGCCAAATGGTTTGTTGAAAAAAGTTTTTCAGGATCTTAATAAAATTTGCTATTCTACGGTTTTTGGGGTCGCTGATTACCAATTTAAAGTCAGTTTTTCAAAATTCAAAATGGCGGACGAGAATTAAAAAATTCATTGGATTCGCTCGAAAATTGTTACTCGGGGGGTTTCAGGGTCGCTGATTACGAATTTTTGATAATTTTTAAAAATAAGTTTTAGGAAAGTCCGCCATTTTGAATTTAAAAAATTTCACTTTTATTTTTGTATTTACATTCAATCACTCCAAAATACTTTCTGTACCAAGTTTTGCAAAAATCCGTTATGATTTGATAAAGTTATTGAAGGTTTTAATTGTGTAATGCATTTTAATTTTTAACCTGTTTGATTTTTGTATTTATATATGATGCATTATTACATAATAGGTTTATTATCGTATTTTTTTTGAGTTTTTATATAAGTTTAACAATTGCAATAATTTAAATTTATTTTCCCTAAGATTTTTCTGAAATACAGTGGCGTTCGTATTTACCCCGGTATTTTAGGAAAGTTGCAAAGTATCGAGGTAAATACGAACGCTAAGTTTCCTGCGATTGTAATTTATCAAAAATTTTTGCTACCCCATAAAATTGTTCTATGGAAGTAAAGTAACAACTTCATGCACCAGAATACCGAAAGTATTTTTTTTTTAAAGAAAAAACTTATGTTATTGTTGAAACTTACTAAAAGCGTTCGGATTTACCCCGGTTAACCCTAACACATTTTGTAAATTAGTTAATTGTTCTTTTTTTTTTTGATTTTAACAAAAGTTATTTTATAGGGTTTACCAAGATAAACTTGCCAGCTTAAAAAAGCAATTACAACAGTTAAAAGATGGTACTCATCCGGAATACAATCGAAAATTAAAAAGACTTGAGGATCAATATAAAGAAAGGTTTGTTAAACGATTCCAATTATTACCGAATGAAGAGAAGTTTCTTTATTTTCTTAAATCGATGATTGATTATATTTTATCAGAATGTCTAAAGGTCAGGGAAAAGTCAAGGAATTTCTTTAATTTTCTAGAATTTTTTATAAATAAATTAAACTATTCAAAAATTTTTTTACTTTTTTCCCAAAGCAAATGCAAATTAAAAAATTGTCCTTCCCACTCAATTATTAAGCAAATGTGATATATCTTATATACATTAAGTAAATAATTATTTACTACTATTTATTGAATCTAATAAATGATTCTTTAAACTTGGATAATAATTAATTTTTTTCAATGAAATATTTGGTTTTTTTTTAATATAAATCAAAAAATGATTTGATATCAATTTCATTTTATCGGTTCAACTTCAAATAAAGTAAATTATTCATTAATACAAATAATTTATTATTTAATGCTAATATCCACATTTAAGTGATAAAACTTTTTACGGCGTCGAATATTAAATTATCAAATTTCTATTTTTGAAAATTGTATAAAATGGAAAATTTTCAATTTACATTTAACTAAAATGAATTTCTATTTAGCAGAACTCTTATAAAGAATTTTTTCTAATATTTTTTTTTCTAAAATTTTAAATTAATATAATTTCATTTAAACGAAATTTATGTCTATAAAAATTATCAACAAAAAAAGAACTAAGTAGAATTTTTCTTAAATGAAAATTCTGTTAAATAAAAATTAGTTGGAATTAAAATTTTCTTTAATAAAAAAAAAATTTGTTAATTAAGAATTTTGTTAAATAGAAATTCTGTTAATTGTTGATTTATTCAATGACTATTAAGTAAATATTTTGATAAATTCAAAATTTACTAAAATAAAAATTTTGTTAAAAAAATTTTTCTTTATTGCTATTTTTCTTGATATAAATTTCGTTAAATTGAAATTGTATTAATTTAAAATTCAATGTACTAGAAAATCTGCGCTTTATATAATTTTACTAAATAAAAATTTGATAATTTAAGATTTGACGCCGTAAAATTTCTTTTAAATATTAAATATTGAGAATATTTATACGTCCCCCCAATTAGTTTATTTATTTCACATTAAATATTTTATTTTTCACGAAACATTATTTATTTGGTTCAAATACATACATGAAATTAGTGGATAATTGGTAAATGATTTAATTGTATCAAAATAAATTTTATTTGATCAAAATAAAAATTTTTTAGTGTAATTTAGGTCAAGGAATTTTTTCCCTAACAGTTATTAGACACCCTGTTTATAATAATTATATTTATTATTATTATTATTATTATAATTTGTTATCTGTTCTTTAACTTTTGGTTTGAAAGAAAATGTTCAAGGAAAATTGAAATCTTAAATTAAAAATTAAATACATAATTAGTTAGTGTGAATTTAAAAAAAATTTGTACTTCTCTTCATTAAAGGTTAAGAATGAATGTAATACATCGTGACTATCTTACCGAATGGGTTGAGAGAGATTATATTCTCGAAAAGAAAGCAGCGGCTAAGGAGTTTGACGAGAAAAAAATTGATTTAAAAGACAATTTACTAACAGACATGGAGGATAAACGAAAAATGATTGAATCTGATCGACACACAATGGAGCTTACCGGTGATTCTATGGAGGTAAAAATAGTATATTTTGTTTTTAATTTAACCATTTAATAATCATTTTTAACTAATTTTACAGATTACAGATTTTTTTTTTCAAATTCTCAATTTTATTTAACATTTTAAACAAAAATGTGATCTCCCCATATGGGGAGAGTTGTCAAGTAGACAATTTCCTTCAATTTTAAAATAGTAAATTTAAAAAAACTCAATTTACATATGAATTGGAACAAAATAATAAAATCAATTTTTTAGTTGTAACGTTAATAAAAAAAAAAAGAAGGACAGATTATAAAAAATTGGTTTCAAAAAGACAATTTCTCCGGAAGATATCTTGATTTTGACTCATATCAACCAAAAATATACAAATTAATTATACTTTAAATAATTTAGTAGATAGGGCAATAACATTGTCCGTTATCCAATTTCATAAAAGCAATTTACAAAAAATCAAGCAAATTTTATTAAATAGATATCCTATACATTTCATCATAAGTAATATTAAAAAAAGATTAACAACTTTAACAAACTAACTAACGATCTTTCAAACATTTTCACAAGCAAGGAAGGTGTCGAGGTCACGGTGTCGGTGTCGCTTTTGGAAATTTGTTAACTTAATATAATAGAAGATGTTTCGTTTTAAAATAAGAAATGGTAAAATTATTAAGTTAAAAACAATTGATTTCAATGACACTTAAAATTAGGCACAATATTATAGGTTCCTAACTAAAAATTTAAAAAACAACAATAAATAAAAAAAAACCATAAAAAATTGTTAAAAAATTGTTTATAAGTAAATTTTTAAAAATAGAGTAATTTTAAAGGTATATATCCAAAAATTAGTAAAAAAATTGCATAAAATAGCAAAATAACCCTTTTTCGGGTTAAAAATGAAAAAAATTATTTTTAAGTAACTTTTTAAAAATAGAGTAATTTTAAAGGTATATATCCAAAAATTCGTAAAAAAAATTGCATAAAATAGCAAAATAACCCTTTTTCGGGTTAAAAATGAAAAAACATGTTACAAAAAAATAGTATGTAAGATTTTCTAAAAGCATATGGCAAAGTATTTTGATTTATTTGAAAATAAGTGAAAATAGATTTTCCAAGGACGGTGTCGAGGTCACGGTGTCGGTGTCGCTTTTGGAAATTTGTTAACTTAATATAATAGAAGATAATAGAAGATGCTTCAAAAATTTACTTAAATAACTTAAATTTAATTTTTTTTTAATACTAAAATATCTACATATAAATAAATAATGGAATTATATTCCTTGTAAAAATTATGTACTTACAAAAAAAAAAAAATAAATTACTGAAGAGAACCCAAACCATAAGTCGAAACGTTTAGAAAAAATATATCAAATTTCAATATTCTTACATCATGGGCCCTAAAAAATCCACTAAACATTCTATTCAATAATTTATAATTAATTAAATACACAAGTAAAATAATTAAATTAATAATTAAGAGAAAAAAAGAATTATTATTGTTTTTAAGGTAAAACCAGTGATGACAAGAAAATTACGCCGAAGACCAAATGATCCTGTGCCGGAAAAAGTTGAAAAACGCAGAAAACCTCCACCGGCACAATTAAATTATTTATTAGATGAAAAGGAAATTGATAATGATTTAAAGGCAATTAGTCGAGGAAAAGTAATGACTACCGTTCGAAAACCCGGTATTAAAATTTTTTTTTAAATTAATTATTTAATCGAATTCTGCTGTTCAAAGTAAATTCGCTTTTTCGTAAGGGCGAAAGTCGATAGATAAAATCAAACGATTTTTATCCTTACGGAAAAGTGACTTTTTTTATTTTGGACAGCAGAATTAACTATTCGAAAAAAATAAAAATATTTTAAATAAATTTTAAGTGATTAAATAAATATCAAGAACAATTTTCTTCTTCTTTTTCTACAGTAGTGATGCAACATTACAGTCCTGTTAATTTACCAACACCGGCAATGAATATCACGTCGGAATCATCATTAGTTGAAACACGAATCGAAGATGGCAAACTTTTATACGAAAGAAGATGGTTAGTATTTATTGATTCAAAATTTAAGTACAAAAAAAAACCCCAGGAAGTGGTCCACTAATTAAATTGCCCTACTTTAAGTTAAAAAATACAAAAAAAAAGAGTTTTTAATTGTTCCGTTAGGTTTCATCGAGGACAATCGGTTTACGTTGAAGGAAAAGATTTACAAAGATTTTCCGCCACCATATCAGCAATTGGAAACGAAGTTGTGAGTAAATTTCATCAATTCCCAAATGTGCTTTTTTTTATTTTAATAAAATAATAATCGTTTCTTTTTTTTAAGGTTTGTGTAAAAAAAGTCACGGACGGAAGTAAAGTAAAAGTGTGCGTCTCACAATTAAGCAGAGGGAAAATTTCAATCAAACGACGAGCAAATTGAAAAAAAAAGTATACATACATCACAAAATTGAGAAAAATTTAATTTTAATTAATTTTCCATTATTTTAATCTCATTAATTAATGAATTAGAAAATAGTTTCAGATACATATTTATCAGACAATGAAATTTGTCGATTTTCATCAATTTCAGGAAGAGTGACTTTGACTTTACTCGTTCTTTGCCACCAATAATACCAAATCTTCTGATGATGTTGAATGGCCGTGTATGTCCAAACAAAATAGGAGAAAAGAATAAGTGATATCATTGCCAACAATGAATAAGTTGTCCAACGCGCTGGTGGAAAATGATCATAATTATTTTGTGAATAAAAATCAGCGGCAATAATGCAAATATAAGAACATGCAATTGTTAATGGTGTAACAATTATACAACGAAGCAAATCAGAATGAAGATTATGGACATAATTTCGTTGTCTCTGTTGTTTGAGACACAACCAAATAACAATTGATTCAATAACACGATAACGAAGTGTTCTTTCCACTTGAAATTCATGTCCACATAATTCACAACTACTTCTATTGCTTTCCTCGAGCCATTTTTCCAAACATGTCAAATGAATTGCTCCGATAGATCCCTTTAAAAAAATGAAAAAAAAAAATCGTTGTGTATATAACTTGTAAATAATTCAAAATTACATGACAATATTTCTATTTTTAAAACAATTCCCCCCCTTGTAAACAAATTGACAATGTAAGACAAGGCTAGTCGATAATTGAAAGCCCTCATATCCATTATTTATTATTGGATATTGTTTATTAATAATTGATAAAATAAGTACTTTGTTTCAATAGGTCGAGAGTGGTTCAATTTTCAAAATATTGCAATGATATTTTTAAATACAGGGATAAAAAAAATCAATAAAAGCAAATCACAGATAGATAATTTTTTTTAAAAAACATTTAATTTAACAAATCTAAAAAAGAAATTATTGAAAACTAAATAAATAAACGTTAAATTAAATTTATTCATAAATTAATAATTTCATTCGTTTAAGGAGGCATTAAAAAATCAATTTTACAATTTTTTTTTTTAAATGAATTTATTCATAAATTAAGAAATTCATTCGTTTAAGAAGGCATTGAGGAGTCAATTTCACAAATTTTCTTCTCAAAAATTGAAATTTTTAATTTTTTTTTTAAACAAATTTTTTTTTAAATTCTAAAAAAAATTCATTTGTTTAAGGAGGCATTGAAATGGTATTTTAATAGTCAAAAATTGATATTTAAAATTATAAATTATTTAAAAAATTATAAATAGAATCTAATTCGTTAAAAATAAAAATTACTCAAATAAATTTTTTAAGTAAAATTGAAAATTTTTTATAATTTTATACCATTTTACACTAAATAATAAAAAAATAATTTTTAAAGAATAACATCTAACCTTGCATTTGCAAGGAAAAACAATTTGCATATTTCGTTGTGAATCGTAACAAATTCGACAGCTAAAATTATCATTTAATCCAGAATTACGACTTCTCGATGATCTCATTTCTATTGTTGATGAAGAAATTTTTTCTTCTTGTAAGTCACGTATAACATTTTCATTACATTGAATTTCCATTAATTCCATTGCTACTTTATCAATAATTTGCTCCAAAATATTACCAATTAAATCTGACATTTCAACTTTTTTTTTAATTATAAATTTACTTTTCCTTTTTTTTAAAAAATTAAAACTGGAATATAATCTTTTCTCACTTATTTATTTAAACTGTTCTTTTTTTATATATATATATAAATAATTTCGAAACTTTTCGAAAAAGTTTTTGACACATGAAAAGTAGGTTATTTTTTTTCACAACTTCTTCCAAAGGTATATAGAAATAGTATGGAAATTGAATGAATGTTAAATAAATAATAAGATGATTGAATAAACAATTTTTATTCTTATTTATAGACAATATTTTTAACCCAACAAAATTTTTTATTTATTTTTTATTTTTATATAATATAATTTTTTCCGTTCTTCAAATTTTCCGTATTTAAAATTCAAAAACAAAGAATGTTTTTTTATGAAATTAAAAAATGTTAATTAAAAATTTAAAAATTTTTATTTTAATATCTAAAATAGGGAATATTTTTTTTTTTTTATCAAAATCATTTCACGAAACTTTCTATACTTTCAAGATAAATTTTCTTTAAAAAAAAAAAAATAGAAATTATTTCAATACATATTTTATACGAAATAGTCGGACAAATGTAAAAGAAATCAATTTGGTAAAAATATTACGATATTTAAGTAATAAAATATAAGAATTTGAATTTAAAAAAAAAAATTGAATTAAAATTAAAAGAAAAATTTTCTTCTACTTTGAAAAAGTATTTTAATAAAAAATGATAAAAAAAATGTTTTTTCTTTATTAAAAAAAAACTTGACACTGAATTAAATAATAAAGTAAATTTACTTTTCCCTTCGGATTATTTTGTTTTTTTTTTTAAATTCCTTTGTTTAAAATTAAAGAATGAATGAAATTACTAATGATTATATTCGACTATCTTGTCACGCACTACTGACATACTTTATAACTTCTCTTACACTTTTCTTTAAGGTGAATGAATTTGTGAATCACTTCGCAATAATTTCCTGATAAATATATTTATTTCTTGAACGGACGCGATTAAAAATTTTAAATAAATAAAACAAAATAATTAAAAATAATCCTATGTTTATTAAATACAGTAAATCAATTTATTATTTACAATACTCGGAATGTACAACATTATAAAAAAAAAAAATAATAATAATAAAAAAAATGCAACTTATTTCGATTTTTACAGTGTAAAATGAGACTAATTGTCTTTTTCTGAATTTAAGTATCATTATTTATTATTATTTTCTATTATTTATTATATTTAGTATTTATTATTATTATTTTTTTTATGTATTAGATTTATTTTTTTCCATTGTGTACCTACATATTACAAAGTTTTACAATTTTGTTATTATTATTTTCTATTATTTATTATTTTTATTATTTATTATTATTATTATTATTATTATTTTTATCGGGTATTATTTTTTTCTATTATTCTATTTATTTTCCATAAAGAATCTTATTGTTATAAAACTCAGAATATTTATAATTAATAGTTAATTATCAGGCCTCGAATTATACGACTTTTTCCGACTTTTTTTGACTTATTTTAATAAAATGCGACTTTTTCGACTTTTTTTTACATTTTTTTTTACAAAATTTTTAAACAAAATACGTTTTTTTTAGTATGAAATTCATATCTTCTTCAGATCTTTTTTATTTCAATTATTTAACAAATTTTTAACTAAAATTCTTCGCTAAATTAATTATTTTTAATAATTTTAATGAAATTCTTCACAAATTCAATTATCTTAAACTATTTTTTTTCAATTAAAATTTTTATGAAATTTAATAATTGTTTATAATTTAAAAAAAAAATTAGCAAATTAAATTATCAAAAAATTTTAATTCGTAATCACTTAAAATTTAATTATTTCTAAAATTTTCAATCTAAAATTTTTTGAAATTTAATAATTTCAATTATTTTTAATGATTTTTATAATATTTTTCGAAAATTCAACTATCTGAAACCATTTTTTTTTTGGCTTAAAAAGTTTTTAAATTATTGTATTTTTGTCTGTAATTTCTAATAAATTTTTTATTGAAATCATTAAAAATTTGAAATTTAAAATCACTTCAAGTTGAATTAATTTCAAAAATCAAAATATTGTAAATCTTTGAAAATTCAATTACTTTTAAAAAATATCTAAAATAATTTGATAAATTATTTTTTATTTCTGTAAAATTTAATTATTATTGTCTAAAAAATTAAGAAAATCTTTTGAAATTTAATTATTTTTAAAAATTTCAACTTTAACTCTTTCCATAATTATTATTATTTAAAAAAAAAAATTTTTATTTAAAAATCTGTAAAACTTGATTATTGCCTGAAATTTTTTTTTACCATCAAAAACTAAAAACTATGACAACATTTTTAATTCAAATAAATTGCTTAAATTAGATTTGAAAAAAATTATAAAAATTAAATTTTAAGAGTTTTTTTTTTTTAGAAATTTGTTCTACTTAAATGAAATTTTGATAATTTCTCTTACAATTAGTTCGATTCTGAAATATTTGAAATAAATTTTCTTAATAATATTCATTATAAAATTATTCTCATTACAGAAGTAATAAAATGAATTTAATATCAAATAACATTAGTTTTTCAAAGTAAAATATTCATGAACCAATTAAATTTTGTTAAAATAAAGAAAATCGACTTTTTCTTAAGTTTTTTTGATAATTGAATATAATTTTAATTATTTAATTGAATAATGAAGATATTTTTGAATTATTTGATTAAATATTGAGATTTACTGCGGTTTCAATTTTCAAGTAAAATGAGAGAATTTTTTGTTCTTGTCCCGTAAAAAACTTGAATGTTTATTTATATTTAAAATTAATTTTCCTTTTTTTTACATAATTTAAAAATTATTTTTTACTTTAAAAATACTATATGAATTCTAGCATAAAAAGTAGAATAAAAAAATGACACGCTCTATAGGGTGAGGAGGAGGAGGGAGACTTTTACAAATGTTACGGAATATGTGTAATAGATATCGGAAATCCTGCATTAATTTATTATTACATATCAATTCTTTTGTTAATAATAAACTGTCCTTGAATTATAATGTGAAAACATATTTATAACAAAACTTGATGAATTATAATAATTATATTTTTTTTTATATATTAAAATAGAAAATAATATATATATACCTTCTAATTTAATTATATTTTAAAATAAATTTTCACTTGAATGAAAGTGCTCTATATAAATCTGAATTAGTGAAAAATTTTCCACTGAATTTAAATCAGTGAAACTTTTAATTTATATTTAAAAATGATTGCAGTAATAGACACGCAAGAAGGAGAAAATTTTGTTGAAACAATACGATCCAACAAAATGTGTGTTTTAAAAATACATCAATTTTTTTTTTTTATTTTTTCGTAAATTATTTGATTCAAATAATTCGGTTACTTGACTATTATCAAATAAATATTTACTTGAACCAAATAATTTTTATTTTAATTTTTGTAATTAAATAAATTGTATATTTGGACCAATAATTTCTGTATTTGAAATAAATACTATTTAATTGGCTCATATAAAAATTATTTGGTTCAAGTAAATATTATGTCTGTCCTTCTGTCCTAACTTGAAGTTGGCCTTTTCTGATTTCACGTGTTTTTTTTTGAATAGTAATCTTATGACGTGTCAAATTTTGACAATTCTTTTTCTCATTTTTGCCAAAGTTGTATAATTGTGTTTCCAAATTTCGGAATAAGTTTCTTTAAAATTCCAAATTCGAAAATTCAATTCACGAAGCTGAAGTACACAACGTTTACCAACGAAATTTTTTTTAAACTTGTATATTGATTCAAAAATTGTATACAAATACAAAAAATTTATGATGAGAAAAAAGATGCGCCAGGACTCGAACACAGGCCTCGAATCAACTTAAAGACACAAAAAAATCGTTTCAGTTGATTTATATTCCAAAAAAAAGTGGATTTGTTTTTTATTTTAACAAAAATATTTTACAGATTTTTAAATAAAAAAATTTTTTTTTTTAATAATAATCCTTTTCGAAGGGTTAAAGTTGAAATTTTTAAAAATAATTAAATTTCAAAAGATATTGTTAATTTTCAAACAATTATTAAATTTTACAGAACTAAAAATAATTTATCAAACAATTTTTGGAAAACATTTTTTAAATTTAATTGAATTTTCAAAGATTTAAAATTGAGATTTTTAAAATTAATTGTTTAAGTGTTTTGTAATTAAAATTTTAGATGATTTCACTGAAAATTTTATTAGAAAATGCGGACAAAATACAATAATTTGAAAATCATTTTTAATTGAAAAATGGTTTCAGATAGTTGAATTTTCAAAGAATATTATTAAAATAGTTAAAAATAATTGAATTTCCTTAGAGTTATAATTGAAATTATTAAATTTCAAAAAAAAAATTTTCGATGGAAAATTTTAGAATTAATTAAATTATAGATGCTTTTAAATTCAAATTATTGAAAATTCAATTAATTTTGAATTCAAATTTTTGAGAATAATGAAATTTTATTTGATTTTAAATTTGGAAAATAATTGAATTTCAGTTCATTTTGAATTGAAAATTTTGGGAAATAATTGAATTTTAATTGAAATTTTGGATAATAATTTAATTTAAGTTCATTTTTGATTGAAAATTTGGATAATTAATTTTGAATAGAAATTTTAGAAAATAATTGAATTTTATTTCATTTTAAATTGAAAACTTGGTAAATAATTAAATTGAAATTGAAAATTTTTAAAACTATTGAATTTTAGTTGATTTAGGATTGAAAATTTTGAAAATAATTAAATTTCAGTTGAAATTTGGAAAATAATTGAATTGTAGTTTATTGTGAATTGAAATTTTTGAAAATAATTGAATTTTAGTTGACTTTGAATTGAAAATTTTGAAAATAATTGAATATCAGTTCATTTTGAATTGAAAATTTTGAAAATAATTGATTTTCAATTGAAATTTTGAATAATAATTTAATTTAAGTTAATTTTTGATTGAAAATTTGGATAATTAATTTTGAATAGAAATTTTAGAAAATAATTGAATTTTATTTCATTTTAAATTGAAAACTTGGTAAATAATTAAATTGAAATTGAAAATTTTTAAAACTATTGAATTTTAGTTGATTTAGGATTGAAAATTTTGAAAATAATTAAATTAAATTGAAAAAGTAATTTTGATATAATTGAATTTGTGATGTATTTAATTAAAATTATTAAAAATAATTAATTTAGTGAAGAATCATTTTAGTTGAAAATTTGTTAAATAATTGAATTGAAGAAGATCTGAAGAAGATCTACATTTTATACTAAAAAAATGTATTTTATTTACATTTTTTTTCAAACGTAAAAAAAAATGTTGCATTTTATTAAAATAAGTCGATAAAAGTCGTATTTTTGAAAAAAGTCGGAAAAAGTCGTATAGGCCTGTAAACATATATAATTTTAATTATTATCATATAATATGTAATAATATTCTAATAAATTAAATTATTATTGACAATATTAATCTTTAATTTCTTTATAACAAACAATGAAATACTCAATTTGGCGCGCTTTCGCGCTTTTAATTTTGCCAGTTTATTTAATAAAGTAACGGAATATTTGAATCAAAATAAATTTTTTATTCTAATTTTCATTAAATTATTAAATAATTTGAAAATTGTCTTTAATTGAAATTTTTAAAGAATTTTAAAAGTGAACCTCAACAGAAAACAAAAAATAAAATAATTTTTTTACTGGAAAATTGATTTTTATTTAAATTGCCTTGACGAACGGAAACTTGAATTCAAAATATTATTTAATCGTCGATTTCGTATACTCATTGCGGGGCTTCACCTCTTTTGTGTCAAATAACGGATACCGTTCCAAAACGTGTTGGTATTCAAAGAAACAAACAAAAATATTTTTATTTACGTCCATTTTGAATAAAAAAAAAAAAAAATTGAAACGGTTAAAAAAAATATTCAACAATTCTGAAAAAATATATATTATAAATAAATAATTACGTTAGCTTTTCTCTCATGTTTGATATATATTTTTTTTCTTTTATATGCATATTTTTTTATAATTTAATTAATTAATTATTTAATAATTAAAAAAATTAATTTAATAATTTATAATTATAATAATTACGTCAACTTTTCTCTCGTGTTTGATATATTTTTTTTTTGTTTTATATTCATATTTTTTATAATTTTGATTATATTTATTATGACAAGATTAAATTTTGATACAGTTTATTTTTTTTATATATATAAAGAGGAAAAGAGAAAAAAAAAGAAAGAAAGAAAGAAAGTATTTTCTTGTTTGTGTCACGAGGAGGATTCGTTGAAAATTTGAAAGTTGGACATATTGAAAGGAAGTGGTAAAAGTCGTGTTTAGCGTATCGCGTGGGGGGAGAGAGGTGCGATACGGCGCGGTGAGACGATTCTCGAGGCGATTTCCGCGGTCCACCAGATTGAAGAGGATCCAGTGACTCAGTGTTCGCGCGGAGCGTGCTCGGTGTTGCTCATTTTTTTTTTCACGCCGTCCGCGTCCGTCCGCTCGTTTGAGTCCGTCCGGTTTTATTTTCCATTTTATTTTCACTACTATAAGCAAAAGGAAAATAAAAAAAAACAAACAAAACAACAACAACCGCTGAAAAAAGAGGCAGACAACGGCTGTGAAGAGAAGAGTTTAAAACTCTTCCTTTTTTTCAGGATTAAACACTGCCCAAAAAACTTTACAAGTAAATTTGCACAAATTTTATATATTTTTTTTTATTGTTATAAAACTAATAAAAGAAATTAGTTATTACAATTTATAATGAAAATTATTCACTCTTTTTGAAATAGAAATAAATCGTTTTTTTAGGATTTTACTTTCAAGTTCTTCGGCTATTATTATTTTTGATGAAATTGAGTTTCTTCAAAATTTTGAGATTATTTTACTTTACGAGTATGGTAAAAATTTTTAGAAACCGTTGCAATGATAAAAAATTGAATTATTTTGATCAATTTTTGTTGAAAATTTCAATTTTTTTTTTGTATTTTTGGTACAATAATTTTTTTTATTAATAATATAAAATTTGTAAAATTGAAATAAGTACAAAAAAATTGAAGATTTCAAACTTTTTTTTTATTTTGAATACAAGAATTAATACAACAATTTGAAAAATTCCAATAAATACCGATAATTGGAAATTTAAATTTTTTTGTATTTTTAATACAAGAATCAATACAAAAAATTAAAAACTTGAAATAAATACAAAGAAAATTGAAATTTTTCAACTTTTTTTCTATTTTTAATATAGAATTTGAATCAATTTAATTTTTAAGAATTTGAAAAATTTTAAATAAATACAGAAAATTAGAAATTTAAACTTTTTTTGTATTTTTAATATTTGTTTTCTAAATTCTTTATTTATAAATTTTTTTTTCTAAAATTTTTTTTCTATAATACTTGTTACTGTTAAATAATAATTTTTATCTTTCAATATATATATTTTGCCATATCACCTCTTAGTGTACATAGTAATTTTTTTTATCCAATAAAATATCGATTAAAAAAATATTATGTACAACAAAATTTTAAGCTGACAAATTTTTGTTTTGCAGAATTTTTATTTTTTACTCTTGTAATTAACATATGACTTTTAATTTACAAAATTTTAATTTAAACGAATTTTAATCTAACAGAATTCTCATCGAATTTTATGTGATTCAAATTTTTAAATGACAGAAATTTTAATTCACCGAATTTTAATTTGTCCGAATTTTTTATTATTTATACAAAATTTTTAATTGATAGAATTTTTATGACGCCAAATTTTCATTTGTCCGAAATTACAAATAGCCGAGCAAATAATCGACAGAAAGATGAATTTAAAAAAAAAAATCCAAAAATCGATCACTTCAATTTTTAGAAAAGTCACTTTTTAGACTTAATTTCAATTTTTTAGATTATTCCTTTCTAGTTACGTTATTTTTTACTATACATATTTGAAATATTGAAGAAAAATCGAATAAATTTCATGTATATGATTTTTTTTTATGTGTTAGAATGACGGAGAAAAAGGCATTTAAAAAATTATTCGGCCTTCTAAAAACGTTCAATTTAAAAAAATCGTAACTTCCATAATTTTTATTAAATCAAAAAATCAAAAAATACGTATTTTCTTATTTTTTATAGAAATTTCGAAAAAAAATTCCGAGATAAAAATTTTTTTTTTTTTTTGAATATAAATCTCACATTAATTAATTTATGACATGACCGAACAATAAATGCATTTTATACTATATTTTCGAATTGAGATAGTTTTCTCACTTTTTTTTTTTGCTATCGAATTTTTGTTTGGCAGAATTTTTATTTTAGTCATTTAATTTACATGACTTTTTAATTAAAAGAAATTTAATTTAATCGAATTTTAATTTATAATAACAGAATTTTCATTCAATCGAATTTTTTGTGATTCGAATTTTTAAATGACAGAAATTTCAATTCACCGAATTTTAACTTGTCCGACTTTTAAGTTGTACGAATTTTTAAGACGCCGAATTTTTTTTTTAATCGTAATTTCAAATGGCCGAACAAATAATCGACAGAAAAATTTCGGCGCAATTTTCAAAAATTGACCAATTACGATTTTCTGGATAATTTCTAATTGATCAATTTTTGAAAATTGCGCCGAAATCTTTCTGTCAATTCTTTGTTTGGCCATTTGTAATTTCGGACAAAATTCGTAAACTTAAAAATTTGAATAAATAAAAATTCGGACAAAGTAAAATTCGGTGAATTAGAATTTCTGTTATTTAAAAATTCGAATAAATAAAAATTCGTACAAAGTAAAATTCGGTGAATTGGAATTTCTGTTATTTAAAAATTCGATTCAAAGAGAATTCAGTGAAATTAAAATTTACTTAAATTAAAATTCGATTGAATGAAAAAATTCATTTTAATTACAAGACTATTAAAGAAAAATTCTGCCAAATAAAAATTCGGCAGCTAAAAATTGTGTTAAGTAAAAATTCGTATAAAAAGAAATTCTTGTCAAATGCTAATTCGAAAAATGAAAATTCGTCTAAAAAATAATTATTTTTAATAAAATTCTTTAAATTTTAAATTCTTGTGCGCCTCACAAAAATTTTGTTTCTCTTTGTATAATTATTTTTAATCGCAAAAATCACAAACATAACCTAAAAATTTTTCCCTCTAAAGGTCCCTTTTCTCGTGAAGCGTCAGCAATATATTAGAAAATATAATATCTTCTCGTATATAATATTGATAATATAATAAAAGCATATAGTTATATGGCGTATATATAAGTCTTGAGGGCATACTCAAAATGATATTATGATTATATGAAAAGAGTTTGAAAATTACTGCAACTGTTTTCTCGATAATGACTTTGAGACTTAGATAACTGTCTCTGGCGCGTCGTTAAAGCCAGGAGAGTATTCGCATTACCAAGTAATATTGTCGGATAAGCGATATACATACTAATACACCCCGTTGCGGGTGCATATCCGCCCTGTGGGAGTAGGTGTCCAAGATAGCGTATGTTTGTCCCCCTAAAGTGCTCTTGTAATAGCTACACACATATACATATATATATGTACCATCACACTGATGGCGAGAATGTGCGGTGCTTTTATAAGAATTTCTTTTTGCAATTATTCTTGCTTTTAATTACATACATACATATACATTCCTTTCTTTTTTCCTCTCATTTTTATTGGGGCGTATGAATTTTCCATAAAAATCATTAACTAAAATTTTCATTTTAAACCATTTTATTATTATTATTATTATTATTATTTTATTTGTTATATTATAAATTATTTTTTAGACGAATTTTCATTTTTTCGAAATAGCATTTGAGAAAATTTTTATTTTAAACGAATTATTTTATTAAACACCGTTTTTAGGTACCGAATTATTTTTCGTAACCAAAATAAAATTTAACCGAATTTGATTAAATATCCTTATAATCAAATTTTTATTATTTCAATTATTTTTAAATTAATTTTTACTCAAACAAAATTAAATTTAGCCGAATTTTTATTTTTTTATTAAATTAAATTCTCATTTAACAGAATTTGCAGTTTTTAAATTAATTTTTACTTAACCAAAATTGAATTTAGCCGAATTTTTATTCCACTAAATTTTAATGTAACCAAATTTTTATTTAAAAAAAATTAATTTAGCCGAATTTTTTCAGTTTTTAAATTAATTTTTACTTAAACAAAATTAAATTTAGCCGAATTTTTATTTGACTAAATTTTAATGTAACCGAATTTTTATTTTAAAAAAATTTAATTTAGCCGAATTTTTTATTTTTTCATTTAATCGAATTTGCAGTTTTAAAATTAGTTTTTTTTTAATAGAAATTAAATTTAGCCGAATTTTTATTTTTTTATTAAATTAAAATCTCATTTAACAGAATTTGCAGTTTTAAAATTCATTTTTACTTAACCAAAATTGAATTTAGCCGAATTTTTATTTGACTAAATTTTAATGTAATCGAATTTTTAATTTAAAAAAATTTAATTTAGCCGAATTTTTTATCTTTTCATTTAATTAAATTAGCAGGTTTTAAATTAATTTTTACTTAAACGAAATTAAATTTAGCCGAATTTTTATTTAATTAAATTTTATTTTAACAAAATATTTATTTTTTTAAAGACTGTTATCATATTTTAACAAATTTTTATTTATATAAATTTTTATTTAATCGAATTTGCAGTTTTAAAATTAATTTTTACTTAACCAAAATTGAATTTAGCCGAATTTTCATTTGACTCAATTTTAATGTAGCAAAATTTGCGTATAACTGAAATTTTTTTCAAATTTGTGATTCAATTTTATGAAATTGTTATATTAAACAAAGTTTTTTTTAAATCGAATTTGCAGCTTTTAAATTAATTTTTTTTAATAGAAATTAATAGCCAAATTTTTATTCTTTTATTAAATTAAATTCTCATTTAACAGAATTTGCAGTTTTAAAATTCATTTTTACTTAACCAAAATTGAATTTAGCCGAATTTTTATTTGACTAAATTTTAATGTAACCGAATTTTTATTTAAAAAAAAAATTATTGTAACCGAATTTTTATTTTAAAAAAATTTAATTTAGCCGAATTTTTTACTTTTTCAATTTAATCGAATTTTCATTAATTTTTACTTAGGCAATATTTAATTTAGCCGAATTTTAATTTGACTTAAATTTTTTATTTTTTTATTCAAAATTCTTATTAAATTTTATTATTGGCAGCTTTTAAATTAATTTTTATTTAGCAGAAAGTAAATATAGCCGAATTTTTTTATTAAATTTGGCTATAATCAAATTTTTTTATTTTAATCCAAATTGCAGCTTTAAAATTAATTTTTTACCTAATCAAAATTAAATTAAGCCGAATTTTTATGCCAACTAAATTATGTTATAACCGAATTTTTATTTAATTGAAATTTCAGTTTAATAATTAATTTTTACTTATACAAAATTAAATTTTAACCAAGTTTCTTGTGATTAAATTTTAATTTTACCAAATTCGCATTTAAAAAAATTTTTCATGTATTATTTAGATTAATTTTTCATGAAAAAATCATGAAATTTTTTAAATATAAAATTTGTAAAAAGTCTATTAGCAAAAAAAAAAGAAAATGAAAATAAATAATACAAAATAGGAAAAAAAAATTTAATTAAAAATTAAATTAAAGAAAAATATATAAGCAAAATAAAATCTTCCT